CGAAAAAGTTTCCAGACCTTCGTCCCATTTCCTCTTCTTCTCCTCTCTCTCTGTCTTTCTTTCTCTCCGTGTACAATCTCGCACATTTTCCCGACGCAACCTGGTAACAAAAGATTGCTGCCAGATGACCGGCTGCCGGCGCAAGTCCCCGGCAATGTCTGCACTTGCCAGCAGATCCATGCTCCTCCCTCTGCTCCTCCTCATCCACTCCTTTCCAGCTTCCGTCTCTGCTCAGCGCCGGGGATCTGGTTCTGCTCCCCCCTGGCAGACTCTCTCCGGTAAGTCCCGCTCTCTCCACATTATTCGTCTTCCTTCCTTCCTTCTTCTTCTCCGGCGGTGCAGAACTTCCTTGCTCTGGCTTCCTTTTCCTCTGTCTATCTCTCTATGAAGTTGGGCGCCGTTCTGCTTCTGGATGAGTCGACGAGGAGTTGAATTAGGTTAGTTAATGGCGGTTTCTGCATTTCCTGGGAGTAAACTCGAGCTAGCTCGCGTGAATGCGAGCTCCGGCTTCGTGTAGCTAGGGCCGAAAGGCTGCTATTGTTGTATTTGAATTGCGAGCTCCAAATTCTTCAGCATTTGAACCATTTCTTTCTTGTTTCCGCGGAGGCCCAGTTTTTGTAAATTGGACTGTTAGCTCAATCGGTTAGAGCGTCGGCGGCGGCCAATTCGCTGGTATCAGAGACAGTCATGAATTCATCAATTCTTCCCCTCTGGATTTTCTCTCCGTCTTAATTAACGTGCGGGGAGCAATTACATTTGTTTTTGAATGATTGAGGAAGGCAATAGCGAATCGGCCATTTTCTGTGTTTTTTTCCCCCTTCCGGGAAGAACGCTGCTGATTCAACAGTTTCCTTCATTTTTGTGCAGGAAATAGCCCCATAGTTGTAGCTCGGGGTGGATTTTCAGGTCTAGTTCCGGATTCTTCCAATGCGGCTTACCAGTTGACACTGCTGACCAGCGCGCCGGATGTTGTCTTCTGGTGCGACCTGCAGCTCGGTCAAGATGCATTCGGGTTCTGTCTCCCCGATGTCACGCTTGGTAACTCTACTGATATCTCTCAGCTTTACCCTGGCCGTCAGAGCACCTACACCGTCAATGGCGTGAGGCAGACCGGGTGGTTCTCCTTGGATTTCAACACCACCAGCTTGTCAACTGTTTCCTGTGAGTTCATTTTTCCATCATCTCACTGGATTTCCTTTTGTTGGTTTCCATGTTCATGTCACTAGTATCGAGTAATCCCCGGTGGCAGTTGCTTTGCTAGTACATTTGATTCTGAAATGAGCTCTTTCGCCAGTGACGCAGGGAGTCTACTCGCGTAGCCCGAATTTCGACAGCAATTTGTTCCCTATCCTAACTCCTGATGATGTAGCTGCGCTAAAGCCGGCTGGCCTCTGGTTGAACGTTCAGGTAATTGTAGGCACATTTTCGTTTCTTAGCACCCGCTTTATTTGTTTGGCATTTTTGTTTCTAAGCTACAACAATTGCTGAGTTTTGATGTGGTTTCGTCTTGCAGCATGATGCATTCTACAGCCAGCACAATCTGAGTATGAGAAGCTATGTTCTTGCTGCATCTAGAAGATTTGTCATTAACTACATCTCATCTCCGGAAGTGGGGTTCTTGAGAAGCATTGCATCGCGATTCAACCCGAAAATCACCAAATTGTTCTTCCGGTTTAATGCGCCTAGTGATGTCGAGCCTTCCACAAACCAGACTTATGGTTCTTTGCTATCGAATTTGAAATTTATCAAGACCTTTGCCTCTGGAATTCTTGTGCCTAAGACTTACATATGGCCGCTTGATGCAAGTAATTATTTGCAGCCCAGTACTACACTTGTCTCGGATGCTCATAAAGCCGGGCTTGAAGTTGTGGCCTCAGACTTTAACAATGATGCTGTTCTCAGCTACAATTACAGTTACGACCCTGTAACTGAGTATCTGCAATTTGTGGACAATGGTCAGTTCTCCGTTGACGGTGTCTTGTCCGACTTCCCAATAACCCCATCTGCAGCATTTAGTAAGCTCTCTTTCCTGTCACCCCTTCAGTTTTCACAGTCCTTTTCCCCTCCTATGTTTTCATTTATCTGAGCAGTTCATTGTTCTGTTATAATGGTAAAGAATCCCAAATGGAGTTACTTGAACTTGGAATGTAACAAACACTTGGTTGTACTACTTCTTGAGATTAGGAATTACACTACTTGGTTGGGTTTGGTTCTCTGAATTTGTCAGTAGTATAGATCTGCAGAAGCTTGGAAAAGTTTGTCCATGGGTGTTGGGGGACATCACAGATTTCATTCCAGCAACTTTACTCTAACCTAGGATTAGTTGTTTCGGGTACTGAATTCATTCTCTATTGCAGATTGCTACGCTCACATGGGCCATAATGCTTCAGACAAAGGTATGTGACTCATTTAGTGAAACTATGTCTTCAGTTGGATGGATACTCTTGTTTCCAAATGATGGACCGACCTCACTCATGTTTTGCAGTAAATACTTTGGTCATCACCAAAAATGGTGCAAGTGGAGACTATCCACCCTGTACCGACCTTGCATACCGAAAAGCCATTTCCGATGGAGCAGATGTTATTGATTGTCCAATCCAGATATCTCAGGATGGAGTCCCATTTTGCCAGAGCTCTATAAACCTTATCGACACTACACAAGCCGCTGAAACATTGACCAGCTTTTCAACGAGTGTTCCGGAGCTCAAAGGCGATGGCATATATACGTTTAGCTTGAACTGGAGTCAAATTCAGGACTTGACTCGTAAGCTTTTCATCTGTCCTCAATTTAGCTGTTTTGTTACAATGGCCGGCCTCTGAAATGTAACATTCCGACTCTACTTCATTCGAGGTTTACATTGGTTGTATATGTTCCATTGCAGCGGTCATATCCACCCCATTTCCTAGTTATCAGTTGGTCCGTAATCCAAAGGAGCGAAATGCTGGGAAGTTGGTTTCCCTAGCTGACTTCTTGGGTATGGCAAAGGATGCTGGATCGCTTTCTGGTGTCTTGATCAACATTGAGGTGGGTTTCGTAGTTTCTATCACAGTGGCATTACTACTACAAATCCCTACATATCCAAATTGACCTGATGAACTTGGTCTGTTTATTTTCCTCCATTTCCCCAGAATGCGGCTTATCTCATGGAGAAGCAGGGGCTAGCTGTCCTTGACGCGGTGGAGACCGAACTGACCAAAGCTGGTTACCATAACCAGACAGCTCTGAAAATCATGGTCCAGTCCACCAATAGCTCAGTCCTAATGAAGCTGAAGGATAAAAAACAGTACGAGCTGGTTTACGCGGTCGACGAGACAATTGGAGGTGCTGATCCTTCTGCAGTTTCAGACATCAAGAACTTTGCTCATTCGGTCGTGATCAGCAAGCAGTCGGTGTTCCCCCAGAACGACGCTTTCGTGACCAGAATGACCGATGTCATAACGAAGCTGCAGAAAGCCGATCTCCCCGTCTACGTCCAGACCTTCAGCAATGAGTTTGCATCTCAACCGTGGGACTTCTTTGCAGATATCAACGTGGAGCTCAACACCTACATCTCGACCACCAACATCAGCGGCGTCGTGACAGACTTTCCTCAGACACCTAACAGATACAAGAGTAAGCCCTTGAAGAAAGAAACATTCTTTGCATCTTAGCTTGCTGTCATCTCTATGTAATACATATCTAATCCACTGTATTTTCGACTGCGTGCAGAGAACAGATGCCTAACTCAATTGGACAATGTTCCTCCCTACATGGCCCCGGTTCAGGCAGGGAGTCTGCTGGGACTTATCCAGCCGCCATCTTTGCCACCAGCTCAAGCTCCAAACCCTGCTCTGACCGAGGACGACGTCTCTGAGGCTCCTTTGCCACCGGTCGGAGTGAAGCCTACATCGGAGTCTCCCCCTGGTGGTGGAGCTACACCACCAGGCTCAGGAAGTGGTCAGCCAAGAGGAGCAGCTGCTGGGTTCATGGCTACTGTTGTGGCTGTGTTTTTCACTTTGCTCTCGCTGCTGCTGCTTTGAGTTTGTGGAAATGTGGCATGTAAATGGTGATTAGGGTCTTCCCTCCCAGAAGAAGAGATATGGGGAAGAGTTTTTTTCTAGGTGTTTTTTATTGGATCATTCTTAATTGGATGGAGGTTAATAGAGTAAGACGGATCAGGGAAGAAGCATGGAGGGATTGTATTAGCTGTGGCTGTTTGGTACTTGTAATATAAACAAAAAACTTTATTCTTTGGTGTGTATGTATTTGACTTAGTAGAGGAATTGTTGGGAGTTAAAAGCACAGGCTGTCACTGTTCTTCAGTGTAGCCCATTTACACTTTAGTGTGTATGGATACTCACTTGAACCTGATCTGATCAGGTAGGATAAAATTCGAACTCGATAAATCATTCATGTTTGTGGATTAAACTCAAATAAGTTATGGTTGTTTCACTATCTAATTTGAACGTATGAACTCAATTTATGTAGAAACTCGTTGAATTATGTCATCCTGAGCGGGAAAGAAAGAAGAAGGTTAAGTCAAGTAGGTTAGTCGACCTTGAGTATTTTCCCCACATGTTACGTGTTTGCTAAGTTAGTTTGCTTATTAAGTTTCATTTCTGTGTTTTATATGTACCTTGTTCTTTCTTGCCTTATAAATCATGAATAGGAGGCCATCAATCTAATTAAAACGGCACAGTTTCTCAGTCATATCCTCCACTATCAAAACCCCTACTCGGGCAATTCATCAAGAGATATCATAGATTGCGCCCCGACGAACCCTTGCTAGACAAGGAGTATTGAGAATCCATGTTCTTGGTGTGAGGGCCTAGCATTAGCGAATACCCCCACATTTTAAGTCCTTGCTAGGCATATCCTTCTTTAAGTCCACCACGATGCAGGCATTCCGTCGATCACTACGAGATTGTCATCTTGACTCTTGAGATGGCCGTTACTAGGCATACTATGATGAAATTGTGTATGAATAAAATTCGAACTAGTTAGAATGAGGTTACAAATACCCACTATACATCCCCGACCAGTTATCATCCTAACATTTGGTGGCCCATGTGAGAGAATCACAATTATTGGTAACCAAACTGGTAAGACTTAACAAATTATAGGACCTTCTTTCAATAAATAAATATCTTGGGGATGGTTCCGTAAATTCCAAATCAATCCTTCATCTTCTTCGCTGAACAAGGGCGAGACTTTTGAGTTTTGACCAAAAACCAAGTTGTAGACTAATGGAAACCGCCAAAGAGCTTCGCCGCAGGGACGACTAAATCACAAACTCCGATTCGTCGCTTCATATCAGATCACCGTCGAAGTTGTCGCACTGGAGCTCGCCGTCGTCTGTAGCAGCTTCTCCTTCTCTCTATCCCCCAACCATGGAAACTTAGACCCATCACTGTTAGTCTGTTACTTCGTTGCCGTTCCCAAACCCTTCTCAGGGCTTCACCGTGGTCGTTTGAGGATCTGTTCATGGTGGCCCGTTGCTTGATCTGCTGTAAATTGCGTGACATTGTTAGTGATGAACCATGTTCGTTAATTGATTTCTCCATTGCAATTTGTATTAACAGGAATAGAGGCAAAATTCCCTTTCTTGTATCTGCTTAGATCAAGAAATCCAACCATGCACGAGTTCATGTGTGGGATTCTATCTTGCTGCATGCTTCCTTCTCCACTGGCCGTGAAGAAGTAGCTTGAAAGAACCCATCAATGGCGATTTCTGAAAATTTTCCTTGATCATTGCTTTAACAACACTGCTGATCTTATTGTCTCCTGTATATGCTGGAAACGAACTTTGTCTCTTGTTGGAATTCTTTCCCATTAGGCATGTTTCTGTCAATAAGCATCAACTTGCAGAAAAAAATCTGTCCCTACAACCTAGTTGACTGGGTTTTTCCACATATCCTTCCAACTTCTGATTCAACTTGTGAACATGTGGATGCCAAACCTGGTCCAATCCCTATCCTCTCTCGCCTCGTCCATATCTCACACATTGGCTGAAAAGTCTTGGCGAGGTGAACGGTTGCTGGCCAAAGTCTCCGGCGGCAATGTCTGGCCTCGGAGCCGCTCTTACCAGCTCGCTGCTCCTCCCCATTGCGTTACTGCTACTCCTCCTTCGCCTTCACTCATTTCCAGCTTCCGTCTCTGCTCAGAGGGGTTCTGGGTCTGCTCCTCGCTGGCAGACTCTCTCCGGTAAGTAGAAAGTTTTCTTTCTCTTTGTTTGCCTTTTCTCCTGTAGACCCTCTGCTTTGGTTTCTATATCTTCTTAGAGAACTCCTGAACTGGAAATTCTACTTCTTGAATTGAGGAGGTGAAGTAATTGATGGGTTTTAGGTTTTGTTTTGGTGCATTGTTATCTTGTTCAATGATTGTCCCCTCTGTTGCTTTGATCTTCTCACCTCAATATGCCGAGGAATTGAATTTTGTAGGAGGCATGTTTCTGAAATATAGCAATACTGTGTTGATCTTACTCAACGTGTCTTTCTGCCTGGAAGACCGCTGCTGATTGAACAGTTTCCTTCATTGTGCAGGCCATAGCCCCATAGTTGTAGCCCGGGGTGGATTTTCGGGTCTGTTTCCTGATTCTTCAAGAGCGGCTTACCGATTCGCCCAGGCCACTAGTGTGCCAGACGTTGTCCTGTGGTGCGACTTGCAGCTCACTAAAGATGGATTCGGGCTTTGTCTCCCAGACATCAAGCTTGATAATTCTACTGATGTCTCTCAGATTTACCAGGACGGTCAGAACACCTACATGATCAATGGCGCCACGCAAACCGGATGGTTTCCCTTGGATTTCAGCCTCGCCGAGTTGTCAACTGTACCCTGTGAGTTCATGTTCATCCCTCATGGATGAGCATTTGTGGGTTCCGGGGTTTGTCTGACTGGGATGAAGTCAAGCCATAGTAGTTGTTTCAATTGTACAGACGAATCGAATTAATAGTAGCACTCTGTTCAGAAATTGACTCTTTGGTTTTGACAGTGGTTCAGGGAGTTTATACTCGTAGCGAGCAGTTCAACAATTTGTTCCCGATTCTAACTCCTGAGGATGTTGCTGCACTAAATCCAGCTGGCCTATGGCTGAATGTTCAGGTAGTTGCAGGGAAACTTTCTTATTTGACTTTTCATTTTCTTAACTACAACAGTTGCTGAGTGTTGATGTGGTTTTTCTCTCCAGCATGATGCATTCTACACCCAGCGCAATTTAAGTATGAAAAATTATGTCCTTGCTGCATCTAGAAGAATGGTTATCAATTACATCTCATCTCCGGAAGTGGGGTTCTTGAGAAGTATTTCTACGCGATTCAACCCAAGAATCACCAAACTGTTCTTCCGGTTTAATGCACCTAGTGATGTCGAGCCTTCGACAAACCAGACATATGATTCTTTACGATCAAATTTGACATTTATCAGGACCTTTGCCTCTGGAATTCTTGTCCCCAAGACTTACATATGGCCACTGGATGAACGTAATTATTTGCAGTCCAGTATGCCCCTTGTCTTGGATGCTCACAAAGCTGGCCTTGAAGTTGTGGCCACAGACTTTTACAATGATGGTGTTCTGAGCTACAACTACAGTTACAACCCTATAGCTGAATATCTGCAATTTGTGGACAATGGTCAGTTCTCTGTTGACGGCGTGCTGTCTGACTTCCCAATAACTCCATCTGCAGCATTTAGTAAGCTTTCTTTCCGATGACCCACTTCATTTCTCACATTCCTTTTTTCTGAAGTTTTCTTTTTTTCCCAGTACATAGTTCATTGTCGAGTTATACCAGAGAAATCCAAAGATATTGCTTTGAGTCTGGAATGTAACAAACACTTGTTTGTTTTACTTCTTGAGATTAGGAATGGCATTGCTTGTTTGGGTTGGTTTCTCTTAATTTATCAGCAGTGTAGATCTGCAAAAGCTTGTGGAAGTGTGTCCTTGGGGTTGCGGGACATCACAGATTTCCTTCCAGCTATTTTACTCTAACCCAGGATTAGTTTTTTTGAGTACTGATTCGTTCTCCCACTGCAGATTGCTACGCTCACATTGGCCGGAATGCTTCAGAGGAAGGTATGTGATTCTCGTGTAGTGATGCGATGCCTTAAGTTAATGTGTCCATAGTAGCTCGCCTAATCATGGACTAACCATGATCGTACTTGCAGTAAATACTTTGGTCATCACCAAAAATGGTGCAAGTGGAGACTACCCATCCTGTACCGACCTTGCATACCAAAAAGCCATCTCTGATGGAGCAGATGTTATTGATTGTCCAATTCAGATGTCACAGGATGGAGTTCCATTTTGCCAAAGCTCTATAAACCTTATCGACACTACACAAGCCACTGAAACATTAAATGACTTCCTAACAGATGTTCCGGATCTCAAGGGCAAAGGCATATATACGTTTAGCTTGAATTGGAGCCAGATTCAGAACTTGACTAGTAAGCTTTTCATCTGGCCTTAGTTTGGTTGTTATATCCCGACTCTGCATCATTAGAGGGGTTTTTATATTTATTTTTTTAAATGTTACATTGCAGCGGCCATATCCAATCCATTTCTAAGTTATCAGTTGTACCGAAATCCTAGAGAGAGTAATGGAGGAAGTTTAGTTTCCCTAGCTGACTTCTTGGCTTTGGCAAAGGACGCTGAATCACTTTCTGGCGTCTTAATCAACATTGAGGTGGGCTTCCAAGTTTCGATCGCAGCCTCATTATATATCCAAATTAATAATCATTTCATGATGAACTTGGTCTCTTTATTTTTCTTCATTTTCCCAGAATGCGGCTTATCTCATGGAGAAGCAAGGTCTGGCTGTAGTTGATGCGGTTGAGACCGAGTTGAGCAAAGCTGGTTATGATAACCAGACAGCTCTGAAAATCATGATCCAATCCACCAATAGCTCAGTTCTAAAGAAGCTGAAGGATAAAAAACAGTACGAGCTGGTTTACGAAGTTGACGAAACAATTGGGCGTGCTGATCCTTCTGCAGTTTCAGACATCAAGAACTTTGCTCATTCTGTTGTGATCAGCAAGCAGTCGGTGCTAGCTGAGAATAATGCTTTCCTGACCAGAATGACAGATGTCGTGACGAAGCTACAGAATGCTAATCTCCCGGTCTACGTCCAAACCTTCAGCAATGAATTTGTATCTCAACCGTGGGACTTCTTTGCAGATATCAACGTGGAGCTCAACACCTACATCTTGGGGACCAATATCAGCGGCGTTGTTACAGACTTTCCTAAGACACCTAACAGATACAGAAGTAAGCCCCTCTTTGAAGAAAGGTTCCATTGCTGCATATCTCTCTTTCTCTCTAGCTTGCTGATATCTCTCTCTCTCCGTCCACTATTTATTGACAACAGAGAACCGATGTCTGGCTCAACGGAACAATACTCCTCCCTACATGTCCATAGTTCCGGCAGGGAGCCTGCTGGGATTCATCCAGGAGCCATCATTGCCACCAGCTCAGGCTCCAAGCCTACCTCTGACCGAGAGCGATATCGCTGAGGCGCCTTTGCCACCAGTCAGGAACAAACCGACGGTCGACTCTCCTCCTGCTGCTCAAATTACACGAGGAAGTGGGCTGTCAAAGGGAGCAGTTGCAGGGCTTGTGGTTTCGGTTGTGGTTATACTTGTCGTCGCGCTCGGCTGCTTTCAGTTGAGAAATAGGGGAATGTTGGCTCGGATGGGAATTACATGATCTTTGTAATTCTGTTGACATTCTATCTATGTATATGCATGTTTCTGCACATGTGATATTTTCTGTCTATACATGTAACTTGGGGAACAAGATAACTAAGCATACGTGAGACAAAAGCTCCAGAGAACAGGAATGTTGCAGTGAAAGGAGAAGATTGTATGTATGGATTCTGCAGAAACTTTCATCATGGGCTCCTCCTCCATTACACATTCGAATTATGGCTACTTTCTGATTATGGGGAATTGAGGGGGAAAAGGAGACCACTTATTCCAGTTTTGCTCCTCGTTTGTTTCTCTTTTTCCTTTGATTTTGACTTTCGGGCGGCCAGCCTGTTTTCTTCCCTAAGCTGCTTCCCATCCGCGTACGTCACGCTTTGCTACTGGTGATGTCATCTTTCTCGTAGTGCATGTTGGCGAGCCCACGTAAAGACGCACTTCATGGGCTCAAATCCAATTCTCTCATGTATGGACCCATATTGAATCTCTAGGGCCAGAATCGTGGGCCCACTTTGATATTCTCGCGTACTATGTGTGTAAAGTAACATTTCCGGTGCCACTCATTAGTCACAACTCACAAGACTCGTGCCATTTAATTGGGAGAGATACACAATGGAGCATTTTGTGTGTTGGATACATAACTCTATGGTTGCCGATATTGTACCCTAGGTTGTGTATTATAAAATCCGCTAGTGTTGCGTCAGGGAGATTTATTAAGAACGTTGGTTTGTTGGAGAAGGTCGACTTGTCCAAATAAAAAAGTCTCTCGATTAGAAAAATTTCATACTAACCCGAATGTTTTCTATGATGAATTTTTAAGTTACTTGCATGTACTATAATCGAATGTTTTCGATTAGAAAATTGCCAATCAGTACGAGATTACTCAAAAGCGTAACTCTATTTCAAATCAACAATCTTTCATCCAAGAGTGTAAAATAAACGAAATAAGACTGGGTTTATTGAAGGAAAAGAAGAAGTGAAGAAGAATGGTCAACATGACATTATTCTTCTCCGATGAAGGAGAATGCAAGAGACAGTAAATGTCGATAGCATCACGCATCAACAGTACGGTTGATCAATCATCATATCAGAATGGAGAATCACTTTAAAATTGACCGTGAGTAACCGAAAGAATTTAGAATTTGTCACTCTTCACATTTGACCCTAAAATTCATTGGGAAGATTTGTTCATATCCAAGTATTAAGAGTTTGAGATTTGGCTTACAAATTAACATGACAAAAGCTTGTTACCCAACTGCACAAAACGAACAAGTACGATTTGGCTCCAAAAAAGGGTAAATTCTTCTTGTGCTTACATCTCATGCTGACATCACGGATCTACACCACCAATGACCAAACACCAACAAACAGAAGAAATCTTAACCAAGAGAGAAAAAAGAAGGGGTCGTTTGGATCAAGGATTGTTCAATGAGGGATTTGGGCCCAAAAACCCACATCCAAAAACCCAGATATTTCACCTCCCGGATTTGGGATAAATCAAGCGTTTGGTAATTTATGCGGGTTTTCGATTAAAAAGGCAAAAAGACACTTTTGCCTACTTCTTTCTTCTTCTTCGTTTTCTTTGAAGAACTAGAAAGGACCAGCGAAACAGCACAAGAAGGTTAATTCTCTCTTCTTCCGTCACTTTCTCAGCCGCCAAATAACGATGCAAGCAACAGTAGTCGCCGCAAACAGGGAAGAGGAAGCGATTATGGTGACGACAGTTATTTTCAGTCGGTGCAAGAAAATCTGGAACGAACCCAGAACTTGAATAAGGGCGATTGTCGACGGTTTCTATTGCTGGGTTTTGATGGGAAATCGTAGGGATCCTTTATTCCTTCGATTTCGTTTCTTTCTTCAGAGAACCACAAAATCAAAGCCTCTCTCCAACTGTATCACAACTCTCAAAAATGAATCCACCATACCTGCAAAATTGAGATCCAGAACCCTATATCTGGAATTGACTCATAAATGTTTGGAAACAGGCATGGGGAGTCGTAATTCGTGGCTCTATCATTTTCGGTGTCGTAACCAGCGGCTGTCAAGAAGCCATCGCCCAAACTACTCCTTCGGCTTTGGATGCTTGATGGTTGGATTCATGAACAGACAGCGGCAGCGAGAGAGAGCTCTGGCACAACGAGAGAGAAGGGCGATTGCAGGCTTGGGCAATTTCGGGGAGAGAGGGCAACGACGGTGAGGTTGGGCCGCCGGCGAGGATGGTTGACGAAGAACGAAGAGGGTGAAGGATAGAAGAAGGATAACTTTGGAACAAATAAAAAAAAAGTGTGGGATTTCAAAATAGCTGACCCCCATCAGCTATTTTGAAATCCTATACTTGTGGGTTTTCAAAATCACTCATGAGCAGAATCCTGCGTTTTATGGATCCCTTCCCAAACGCAGAATTGTTTAAAATCCTGCACAATAAGGAATTTTAATTAAAATCCTGCATTAAAAACCCTCATCCAAACGACCCCCAAAGCAAATTCCCAAGGTGACATCTTGAGAACGCTATGCTGATGTCATCAGAGAATCCCTGGGCTTAGCGTGTCCAGCTAATGGAATGAACGGTCAACCTCTTTGCCTTTATTGTGACCTTTGACCTTCCACTAATCCGGTGATCCTTCCTTGTATATAAAGCTGAAAAGCTCCGCAGTTTGTAGTTTGTACTCATTCTTCCTCCCAAATTGCCAGTTCTTCGCAGTTGCTTTCACAGCTAGAAAACAGAGAAAGAGCCCCAAGAAAGAAATAACCCACAAAATCCCTGTAAATTAGGAAAGAAGAAATGCCCGAAAGAGAGGATTCTTGCGCCGTTCGCGATTCCCGCCAGGTGGTGAAGAAGTTCTTGGCCAGGCCTCAGCACGAGGGAGTCGGCGCCATTGTTAGAAGGAGCATTGGAAGGTAAAAACAGTTTTTTTTTTTTTCTTTCTGTTTCTTTTGAGAATTATAGGAATCCAGTGCTTGATCCTTGAGTGGTGTTCTCTTGGGGGAATTCTGAGGCGTTTGGACTATATTTGCAGGTTTGAACTGAAATACTTCGATCCTTTCCTTGCTCTTGATGAGTTCTCTGGTTGGTGCTCTGTTTTTCTTCTCCTTCTTCCTTTTATGCCTATGCTCTGTTTTCACTCTGTTTTCCCGCATCCTCTGTTTTCTTGGCTGATTCTGGGATTCTTCTTCTTAACAGTCACTGCGCCAGCAGGATTCCCCGATCATCCACACAGAGGTCTGGTTTTGTCTCTCTGCAATTTCCACCCTTCCATTTACATTTCAATCAAGCAATGGGATTACGAGCGGAAAGACTCAATTTTTTCTTCTTCTTCTTCTGTTTGCTCTGTTTTCCCGCTTTGGTATTCAACAGGTTTCGAGACGGTCACGTACATGTTGCAGGTAAATTACCTTTAATCCGGGTTGACTTTATTATTTCGAGTCTGGATTTAGTGGGTAAGGAGCTGACTTTCTTATTAACATCGCCCGTTTCTCCACTAGCTACCAAAAAGAATATGATATTCCATAAAACAAAAAAGAAGCTTCGCAGAACTGTTTTTTATGGGCATCCTTCCATTCCATGGCCGGCAGCAAGATCCCAGGGGCTATTTTGGATTTGTTTCATTCCCCCTTTTTGTTTGATTTAGTGGGTTAAAACAATTGTTTGAAAATTTTGAACAGGGAGCCGTCCTGCACGAAGATTTCGAAGGTCACAAAGGGACAATCGGAGCCGGCGACGTGCAATGGATGACCGCCGGCAGAGGGATTGTTCACTCCGAGATGCCTGCAGCTCAAGGCACCCAAAAGGGTCTCCAACTCTGGATCAACCTCTCTTCAAAACACAAAATGTAACCAACCAACTGCCTAAAAGTTCCAATCTTTCAGCCATTTCTTCATCAATGGCTCTCTGCTTTTAGTGTTCGATATAAAGTTCCAATCTTTGTCCTTTTCCCGTAACAGGGTCGAGCCAAGGTACCAAGAAATCGCGAGCAAGGACATCGCGGAAGCATCAATCGACGGCGTGAAGGTCAGAGTGATAGCAGGGGAAGCTCTGGGCGCCAAGTCGCCCGTGTACACAATTACGCCGACGATGTACCTGGACTTCACGCTGAAGCCGGGAGCAAAACTCCGGCAGCCGATTCCGGCGTCGTGGAATGCGTTCGTGTACGTGCTGGAAGGGGAAGGAGGGTTCGGGAGCGCGACGAAAGCCGTGGTGACTGCATCAGCTCACCATCTTCTGCTTCTGAGCAACGGCGGCGGCGGGGATGGGTTGGAGGCGTGGAACAAGTCGTTGAAGCCGGTGAGGTTTGTATTGGTCGGCGGGGAGCCTTTGGGGGAGCCGGTGGCGCAGTTGGGTCCGTTTGTGATGAACACGGAGGAGGAGATTGATCGGACCGTTGATGATTTTGAGAATTTTGTGAATGGGTTTGAGAATGCGAGGCATTGGAGGTCTGAGAGTGGGATTAGCCTTGGGTTTTAGAGGCGAAAACAGAGTTTTGGAGATTGGATGGTTGATTTCTTGTTTTTTTGTGCTATGTTTTGGTTGGTGTTTGATTAGAAGTGGAGGGATAGATTCATCAATTAGAGAGTAGAATGTAGAGATTGCTCTCAAAATGTAAAGTAGGGTCTTCCTTTTGTTTTTTAAGGGAAAATCATTTACCGACACAAGAGATTATACAAACTTCAAATTTATGATTTAGTTTTTTTAAGGGTACGAAAGATCAATAACAATAACGACTAGACAATAATTAAAGATAGTTATGACGTACTTTACATATACAACTCATTTGACAAAGACAAATGGGAATGGTGGTAGAGTAGTCATTATTGTTAGGTTACTCAACAAGCATGAAATTATATATTTGGTATGTCTCCTTTCGAAATAAGATTTGAGGTGACTTAGATCATATCTCACATATAGTTGAGATATTGTGAACGAATAAGCTTTAATTTAGTTAGTTCCCATCATCGGTCATTATTGATGGCGGCGACAATGAATATGGCGATTGAGAAATGAAGAAGAAGCGAGAAGTCGTTAATGTCAGGAGCGGTGAAGTCGGTGATAAAAATAATGTGGTTGTTAAGAACGATTAGAAACCAAACAAAGAGAAATTAGGGTTACTGAAATCTGGCTGAGTCGCAGACTAGTTCACTTTGTTTAAGACGTTCGCGACACTACCTCTTTGCGCACAACAGACTATCACCGTTCACCTCAAGGATAAAAAACCTTACTTTGTTGATCATCGGTTTTGTGCGAAAAAACAGAACTCTCTCTCTCTCTCTCTCTCTCTCTCTCTCTCTCTCTCGTGTTTCTGATTTTCAAATTTGGTGGGTTTAGAGAGTCTGAGAGGTCGCTATTTATAAGGGTCAAGACCCCTCAAAATTCCACTTTCGTGGGGAATAAGTCATGCTTAATTAGGAGATAAACCTATCCTCAATTAAATTAATTACCTGAGTTATCTCTCGAATATTCATTTTAAGGATACAAAATAATTCAGTTTGGAATTTCCATAAATATTAGTCCCAAGACGAACGGCACGCACGTGAATAGTGGCCCATTAGGTTCTCATTCTCCCACAAAGTGGCTCATCCCAAGGGTCAATGCACTTGGAAGAGAGCAGTGGCGGAGGGAAGGTTTGAGCACTTTGGTCCCAGGACCCCACTTGGTAATAAAAGGAGAGGAAAATTGGTAGGAAAATGGCTATCAAAATGAGATTTTAAGGTCAAGGACCCCTTTGTTAGATAACAAAAAATGGTTTAGGACCCCACTGTAGGTTTATTGCAAAGCTTTGCACATTGAACAAAGTTATTACAAAGGTTTAGGACCCCAATCTATCGAAAATCTGGCTACGCCACTGGAAGAGAGCTCAATTTTTTTATACTCGTTTGACAAGAGCTCTCCCAGCAATGTGATATTATTGCCTTGAGACATATAACTTTCAAAACAATTCACCATTTCCAACAAGAACAAGTAAGAGACTATTGATAGTGAAGATAGATCAGCCGATGAAGAAGAGGATGACATGGTTATTGGTAGATAAGGAGGTTTTGTTGGCAACGCAAGGGCAAAAAAACTAAAACAATGGAAACTCTCTGTGATTTTTGGTAGGGAGGAGCGAGATTAAGTAGGTTATTAGGTATTTTAAGAGTTGAGTTTCACTTTCTTGCATGAGTTTGATTTGTTACTATCGATAAGATCATAGTAAATGTACTATGTAGGATGTCAAAAAGAAGAATTTGGATGATTTTATAGCACCAAATAAAAGAAGAAATCTTACTTCATAAAGTTGGTTATGAAATCGATAGATGGTCATCAGACCAACAAGTCGAACCCAAATCTAATCAAATCACGAGATTGGAATTTTTATAGTCCATACTATGAGATTAAATCAATTAGTAATGTTTTTAGTCAAAAGGATAGTCACAACACGTATACAACCTCGATCGTTCCCCTCTGTCGAGTCCCCGGTCGTCGATGCTATGGTTCTTCAATTGGGCAACTCAGCAGCCAGGCCTTAGTCTCACTCACAATACGGCTTCTTACCAATCAATCTTCAGATCCCTGTCAACGTTGTTTCAAAATGCGATCTTTGTTGCTACATAATTCTTCAGTCAACCAAACGTCGCCTCGAGGGAACTGGAGATGATAATTTCCGCCAATCCAAGGGTATTATTGGTGGTTTAGTTGGAACTAATAGTTAGATTGGGTGGTGGTTTAGTTGTGACCGAACGAGCCAAAGACAATTTTTTTTTTTTGACAGGAGAGAATTGTTCTCTCCAATGGCGGAATTTCCACAAAAAGGAATACGACAGGGAAAAAGGGCATACCCCAAATCAACTAGGGCAGGATTCAATCGTCTGACGGACGCTCGCAACGGCGACCAAACGCTTGCTTCCCCCAACCCATTATTTCCCATTTCGACCCTTCACCCGCCGGAGTTGCTGAACCCAATCGTCTCCTTCCGATTCGGAATGTATCTGAAATGAGCCGAGCTCAGTCGAAGCTCCTCTGGATCCTGATTCCCCTCTTCGCTCTCAACTCCATCACAGTCTTCCTCTACTTCTCCTTCCGCCACCACACCTCGCCGCTTCCCTTCTCCGATCCGCGCAACCGCCACTTCCTCACCGACCACGCGCCGCCGTCCAACGCCACCACCCCCGACGGCTACCTCAAGCCCTGGCCCGTCCTCCCTTCTCACCTCCCTTGGACTCGCAAACCCAAGGACCGCTCCTGCGAGGCTTACTTCGGCAACGGCTTCACCCGCCGCGTCGATGTCCTCCCGCCTTCTCCCGATCGCTCCTCCGCCGGCGGGTGGTTCCGCTGCTTCTTCAGCCGGACGCTGCTGAGCTCGGTCTGCGAGGGCGGCGGGATTCGAATGGTCCCCGATAGGATTGCTGTGTCGAGGGGCGGGGAGACGCTTCAGGAGGTTGTTGGGCGGGATGAGGAAGAAGAGATGCCGACGTTTCAGGACGGCGCGTTTCAGATTCTGGGTTCCTTGGAGAGTGAGAAGAGGAAGCTTGTGGACGAGGAGTTTCTCGGCGAGTACCTGCCGCAGGGGGAAATTGAGAGGCACACGATTCGGCAGCTTGTGAGCTCGATTGAAGTGGTGGATGCCACGGAGTTCCAGTGCGATCAGGTTAGGGTTCTAGCTCCGACTCCTTTGATGAATCTCTTTTCTCTGGGTATTTGATCTTAAGGAAGTTCGGATCAACTATTGAACATTTGAACTACTGATCAGAAAGTTTGCATATTTCCTTTTCTGGAATCGGAGGTTTAGATATTGTTTACAGAAAGATATTGAATGGTGTCCTGAGCTCCTGATCGATTCATTGAGAAATTAATTGCCAGGGGAAATCTGGAAGTGGAAGAGATATGTAGCTTTAGGTGGCTGAGGAAATGCCATGATAATGGTAGTTGCTTGAATATGGATTAATTCAAGTGACTTTGGATGATCTTGCAAGTACCATTTTCTGCATCATGTCATGATTTTCTGTGTGCTTGTGGTTTCTGTGTGGTCTTAATCTTTTCTGCATTTCTTGCAGTGGATTGAGGAGCCAACATTGCTGGTTACCCGATTTGAGTATGCAAACCTTTTCCACACTGTAACAGATTGGTACAGTTCGTATGCGGCTTCTAAAGTGACTGAGTTGCCTTACCGGCCGCATTTGGTTTTTGTGGATGGCCATTGTAGAGTACGTTCCCTCTCTGCTCTCTCCTTTGAATTGGTTCTTTGTAGATGTTTTTTTCTAGTGTTTGCGTTACGTATTGAATTGAGAGCACAGCAACTTAATTTATCAGAAATAATGAGCAACTGTGAAACCAGGAACTTCAGAGCCGGTCCTTATTTCTCTATGTGATGTTCTCATTGCTTCAGTATATAATCTTAGCTAGCCACTTCAGGAGCCAGGATTCTGTGTGTTTTTGGGGATAAAGATCCTATTTTATGTGATTATTCTGGTGACAAGTTTACTCTGCTTTTTGCTCATGTTGGATTCCATGTGCTGTTATTCTAGTTGCAAGAGGGGCGTGAATTATGAATTGAATTAGATGCATCATAGAGCTTTAATTTGTGTTATTGTTGTATCAATTCTAATGTCTCTTCTCCTTGGTTTATGAACATCAATGGAAAATGAGTTGTTTTCTGGAACTCTGAGCATTTCATCATGGTTACTTTAGTCTTTTTTTTCCCTCAATGAATGATTCAACTTCTTTATCACGAACACTGGCAATTTATCTCATATGTTCTCGTTAGGCTCATGTGGAGTTACAGGCTTTCACAGTCTTTTTTTCTTTCATTTCTCTGCCCCTTTAGTTTCTTAGTTGGGATATTGCTTCTGTTAGGGATCAGGAATACATTCTAGAGTGAATTTTGCAAACTACGTGCACTCCATTAATGAACTTCACTCGAACCTTGTGTATTGCGTTTCGGCCTTGGTTTGTCTCAGACACTACATTTATAGCTCGCTCATTGATTTCTCATCTTTTTGAGAAAATTTCAGACACCCTTGGAAGAAACCTGGAGTGCTCTCTTCTCTAGCATCCGATATGCTAAAAACTTCACCGGCTCAGTTTGTTACCGTCACGCTGTACTTGTTCCTCTGGGATACGAGACCGCCCTCTTCAAGGGTCTAACTGAAGACATATTCTGTTATGGAGCTGATGGGAAAGAACTTTGGATGAACCCAGATGACCACAAGACAGCACGATTGTCAGAGTTTGGAGAAATGATAAGAGCAGCCTTTCACTTCCCGGTCAATAAGCCCGGTACTGAAAAGCCAGCTTCAGGCCTCAACGTTCTTTTTGTGAGGCGGGAAGACTACTTGGCCCACCCGCGCCATGATGGAAAGGTTCAATCGAGACTGAGCAATGAACAAGTCGTGTTCGATGCTGTACAGAAATGGGCATCATCTGAACATAACAATAATTCGGAGTGTAAATTGAAGGTAGTGAACGGATTATTTGCACACATGCCAATGAGGGAGCAACTGAGAGCCATTCAAGAGGCTTCGATTATCATAGGCGCTCATGGTGCTGGCCTGACTCACATTCTGTCAGCTACACCAAGAACCGTGATTCTTGAGATCGTGAGCGCAGAGTTCAGACGCCCACATTTTCAGTTGATTGCTCAGTGGAAAGGGCTGGAGTATCACGCCATATATCTCGACGATTTGTATGCTAATCCAGTGGTTGTGATCAGCAGGCTTGGACGCATAGTGAGAAGCTTTGAATGTTGAGGAGAAATCCTCCCTTCTTCAATCAAACGTTCGTTCTGTGTGTGCTTCACGATCAAAGATCGTTAAGAGATGCTTGGAAAGGCCCGGAGGCTGTAAATTTAACAGCAGCAGAACAATTTGCATGCTCTTGTGGGAGAGCTTGCTCGCAAACATGGATCGAAGCTGACGCTGAATGTAAATTTTGTCAGTCTGATCTTAACCATTATAGGGTTCCATATAATTATTGACAGACATGGAGGGTGAAGGTCAACTGAAGGCCATTTCTTTTCTTCTCCAGCTGATGAGTGGCTAGGCGGCTGTCCTAACCTGTGACTGCCATTGTTGTAGAGTTGTGTCATTGACGTAGTTGATTGTTTCTTGGAAGTCTCTGTAACTGTGTAACATAGGCATACACAAAGCTCGTCTATTATCGTGGAGATGATGGCATCATATTGTTCAATATCAGCTGGGAGTTGAATGAAAGAAAGAAAAGTCACTGAATGTAAGTTTCTTCAGTCAGGAACCTGGGTGCGAAATCGAAAATAATTTAAGAATTTCTAGTATTATCTTAGTTATTTCTATAATTTGTTTGGTGCACTTCATAAATTCAAATAAATTTTCTATTAAGGACAAATTTATGGATAATAATGTATAATTTTTTTTATAATTATATAATCATATTCCACTAATATCAACAATTTCACATTTAAATTTGATGATCACGGGTTTTCACCTAGAATGTTATAAATTATAGGCTAATTTTGTTGTGAGTGGGCCGTGGCAGCCCATAAACGCAATAAGAAGCCAGCTTGGGCCTGTAAGTTCTTTATTTTTAGTTTGGGCCCGTAAGTTGAAAGGCTCTGGCTCCTGTTTTCCGCATCCAGCACCTTCTACAACTGTATAAATAACCGTACAGCAGAGAAAATCCCTCTAACATCGACACCCGCAAAATTCACAGAACCGCACCGAGAGCGATCCACAGCAATATTCCAGAAGAAGAAGAAGAAAGGCACAGATGGGATTCGAGAAGGAGATCATCCGCCCAGGAAACGGCCCCAAACCTTCTCGCGGCCAGAAAGTCACCGTCCATTGCACCGGCTTTGGTAAGCTTTGTTGGCATTCAATCTGCGCACTCTTGACGCGTACATAGCGATGAACTTTTTAGGAATTAGTTTGGTAGTGAACGTAGCTAGGTCTTTTGGCGCGATTCATTGCTTGATTATCTTTGCCTATCGTCGATTTGCAGGGAAAAATGGTGATATGTCTGAGAAGTTCTGGAGGTGAGGGCTTCTCACTTCTCACATTCTGTTGCATTACTAATTATGGGGTTCTGTCACTTTGGCCTGCAAATTTGTTTCCAGTTTTCCCGATCTTTCAATTGTATTTGTGAGTTCAATAATGGTGTTGCCCATGTTTCTGTATTTCAGCACAAAGGATCCAGGGCAGCAGCCTTTCTCTTTCAATATTGGCAAGGGAAGCGTCATAAAAGGTGAGCCCTCGTGTTTTTCGTTTCTCGCTTTGAAGTTGGATTCATTGGCTACTTGGTTATCTTCCACATTATCTGGGCACTGTTGTATTGTGCTTTGCTTTGTCCCCCCCATTTTTGGATTGTACTATGGTAAGAATAGATAGGTGGGTTTTGGATGCTGTCAGTGTCAATCCTTTCCTAGGGTGAGCGCCCAGTACTTCACTTTAAGCAGAAAGGTTTTCGATGTGGTTCAGCGCACATTTTGTTCAGTGGATCTGTTTGGAAAATTGTTTCTCTTAGCTTTAATTTGTAATGTAAGTATTTGGAAAAGAGAGTTTTGGCTGGATGATCAGCTTTGTACCTCCAGGGTCAATTTGTCTGCATTCCGGTTCTCGTGAGCTCATCTATGAGCATTTTGTGCTAGTAACCCTTGTATCAATCTTCTTAGTTCTTGTGCAACTGCTGATAATCCTTGTAAAATTTATATGTAGGGTGGGACGAGGGAGTCATGGGAATGCAAGTGGGAGAAGTTGCTCGTCTACGGGTAATGTTCCTTGTCGAAGTTGTTCCCTTGGTGCTTTTTCCATAAGTTGGATTATAGACTTATAGTTTATGCTCTAAATAAGAAAGCCTTTGTCCTAACTGCAAATGAAACCCTGCATTTCATGCACAGCAGTAGCGATTCTGTTGCTTGATGGGGTTGAATCTTCATGTTTCATGCCCCTGTCGAGGTTTTTGAAGGTGTTATCTTTCTATGGTGGGGTGAATCTAATAAGCCTTTTGGAAAACTTGTCAGAAAAAAAAGATACTACCTTGTATGCTAGTCCAACTCCAGAGCCACTCATCCTTGTTGGTAGATGATGGACTCGTCATATCTAGGGTAGCAATAGGGGTGGGCATTGGGTGGGTCGGGTGGATTTTGACCATAAAATGCACTCACCCGCGCTTAAACGGATTGATAATTTTTAACCCACCACCCACCCACATTTAGTCTCGGGTTGGGTCGGGCGGATGGTGGATGATGCGGGTGGGTTTGTGGGTTCACCCACATCACAATGCATATAATATAAAGGAGTCAACTTGACATGATAATAGGTGAAGAGAATCATCGAGGGAAACCAGAAGTTGAAATAAAGGCGAAAAATGTCGAATTAGTTATTAAATTGGACAAAAATTCTATTATGAAAGAGTTTTCTACATATTGAGACGATTATTAGGTGCAAGTAACTAAGTAAAATAATTCCACAAAGGAAAGAGCGGTGATCTAGGCACAAGAATTAGAGGAAAAAGTAAAGGGAAGAAGAGGGGATCTCTATTTGGAAGGTTGGCTTTGGGGTTCAAACTCCAGGAGCAGTCTGAGTTTATATCTAACGTCTCCACTCTCCTCTCTCTAGCACCAACGACTTTGATTTTTTTGCTGTTGGATTGAGCGGGTCACCCGCACACTCACCCACAACCCACCCACCACCCGGCGGATGGCTCCCAGCGCAACCCGTCACCCACCCACAGACCCACCCACTTAACGAAATTCGGGTCAAATGCGGGTGGGTCGGCCCAAACCCGCGGATGATCCGCCCGCATGCCCAGCCCTAGGTAGCAATATCGCAGGTCAACTGTTTGGATTTCAAAATCTGGCTTGGAAAGCGAACAGATGACTGTACCGTATAGTATTAGGCTTCGAATTCACCATCATTGCCGTTTCTATATTCTTCTGCTTACCTAATAATCTTATTTCCATGAATGAATTTTCAGTGCTCCCCTGACTACGCCTATGGAGCTGCTGGATTCGGAGCATGGGGAATCCTGCCCAATTCTCCTCTGATTTTCGAGATCGAAGTCCTGAGCGTAGAGTGATCTTTCTTGGTGAAGGGGCCGAAGAAGACCGATCCATGGAGTTGCAGTAATTTCGTATTGTCCAAGTCCTCGGGATTTTACTTAGAATAAAGGCTGCCTTGTCATTGAGACATGTCTATGTACCGTAAACTACCGACTTTGAATCATATAGCACTTGGATTCAGCCAGGCATCAAATTGTCAACTCAGTGTGTTCTTTGGCCATCCACTCATGTTCTACAATTGAATAGTATGTCTTATGCTTATTCTCTACGTCGCTTTCCTCTCTGGCTTTTGCAGAATGGCTTGGTGAAATGGTGAAGCAGAATTTCCTTGTGCTTCAACAATTTTCTTTGAAGTCAGAGGCCCAACTTGGCCAAGTTTTTAGGCCCACAGCGGCCCAAATGTTTGCTCAACGACGCCGTATTGCTACCATATTCACCTTCTCCTCCCGGGGGAAAACCCCAACTCTTTCTCGCCTCGGTTCTCTGCCTGCCTCCGTTCATAGCTGTACGAATTCCGGTGGCGGAGTCTCATTGATGGAAGGATTTAGGTTTTCGAATCCGAGGGCGGTTGGTAGCTCCATTAGGTCTGCCTGGAGGATTCAGCGGTCACTACTTTCCGGCGATCACTCTCCGGGAGAATGTCGACTGGTTAGGTGTTTGGCGACTGTGCCGCCGACTTCGCTTTATTCGAGGCGTTTCGGTTCCGATTCGGCGACGGGATACTCGTCACCGCTTCTTGGTTCCTGCTCCGCGAGAACAGTTCCTTTCGCCTCTGCGAGCCCTTTCTCGATTCAACGGTTCCATTTCTCGACCTCGAATGGCGGAGCTGAGAAACCTGGTGGTGGTAGTGAAGTCTTTGCTGGAACTGGAACTGATATTGGTGGTGGTGGGGAGTGGGTGGATAAGCTAAACGATGTATGGCACGGTGTGACTGGTGTTGTGAACCGTACAGCAGAAAGGGCGAAAGAGGTCTCTGATGGAATGAACCCTCATGTTCAGAATGTGCTTGATTCGCATCCCTATCTCAACACTGTGGTTGTTCCTATTGGCTACACACTAACTGGGACGATATTGGCGTGGGTGGTAATGCCGAAACTCTTGAGGAGGCTTCAGAGGTTTGCAGTGCGAAGTCCTGGTGGAGTGCTCTCCACAAGCATAAGCGGGCAGGAAGTTCCTTATGAGAAGAGTGTTTGGGGTGCCTTGGAGGATCCTCTGCGCTATTTGGTTACGTTCATGACGTTTTCACAAATGTTAGTTCCTGAAAATCGCACAAATTGCCTTTCGTTTGCTTGTCTTTCTGAGCTATGCAATGAGTAGTTGCTTGGGTTTTCCGTTTGTCTCTTGGCTGATTCGTATGAGGACTTATGTGTTGTAGTTGTGCTATGCTGGCTCCAACAACCGTGGCATCACAGTACCTCGGACAAGCATGGAAGGGTGCGACGACGATTTCTTTGGTGTGGTTTCTTTATCGGTGGAAGACCAATTTGATCAGTCTTGCGTTGGCTTCGCATAGTTTGGCCGTTGCTGATCGAGACAAGTGGTTGACCTTGGATAGAGTTTCGTCTGTGGGGCTTTTTGTTATTGGCCTGACGGCTTTTGCTGAGGCATCTGGAGTGGCTGTGCAGTCTATTTTGACAGTTGGAGGAGTTGGAGGTGGGTTTGTCTTAGTGTGGATTGCATTTGTTATTGTACCTCGATGTTCGAAAGTTGCATCATTGATTCGATCTTCTGTTGGTTTTGTGTATTTTTCTAATCTCTGTAGGGGTGGCTACTGCATTTGCTGCTCGGGATGTGCTTGGAAACGTTCTCGGTGGTTTGTCAATGGGAGTTTCAAAACCTTTCTCAATTGGAGATACGATACAGGTAAGTGGATCCTTTTAGGTAAACTTCTAGATGAATTGTCCTAAGAGTACTTAATAATAAGCCCTCTGGTCAGTTTGTATTTGTAGCACCACAATAACACTTCCAGTTATGACATAATGAGGGAATTTAATATTTAAGCTTAGGTTCTATTTAGTTGGAAGGAAAGGGTTCACGAACCCTATGCATACTTTAGCGAAATGATGTATGTATAAAACCTTATTTTCCGGTTGATTAGCCCATGTAATCATTAGTGTTTACCTTTTAGTTGCTCTTTTTTTCTCAAATATATGAATGTGAAAGATGTCTTTTAGGCGTTCAATGGTAGCTCAATTAGCTTATGCACGTGTATACTAATTGGTTGCCTTATATATCTGAGAAACTAAATCTCTTGAATGCAGGCGGGTTCCATTGAAGGTCAAGTGATAGAGATGGGACTAACTTCTACAATGTTACTAAATGCTGAAAAGTTTCCAGTGATAGTCCCGAATTCATTGTTTTCTAGTCAGGTGCGTGCATGTTTGTTGATGCTTCTATGTTTTCCCTCTACGGGTTGTGATCTTATAAAGAGTCTTAGGGCTTGCTCTACCTGTTTGATGATGCAAATTTCCTTTGTCTTTGTCTGTGAAACTTGCAGGTGATTGTAAATAAGTCTCGTGCTCATTTTCGCGCTATGGTGAAAGTAGTTCCTCTGGTGGTTGATGATGTGGACAAAGTTGCACAAATTTCGAAGGACATTGAGGCAATGATAAAGTCGAACCCAAAGGTTTTCTTGGGGAAGGAGGTCCCTTACTGTTTCTTGTCTAAAATCGGAAGCTCCTCTGCAGAATTGACTTTGGGATGCAATCTTAAACACATGGTAACCTTTCTTCTCTACAGTCTCTTCCACCCAACATCATTTAGCCTCCACGTTTTCTTGTTTCATTATGGAATCTAATCTTTTATGAGTTCCCTATCATTTGCTCCCTGCATAGTTTAGATTTCAAACCATAAAAAAGCTAAATAGCCATGTATGATGTAGAAAGACAAGATGGTGGAACGATTCCGTGAGTTACTGTTGGTCAAAATTATGCATAATCTTCACCTAAATTGTGATATCTCTCCACATTTTGTTTGTAATTCTGGTTGCTACGACTGACTAGGACAGTATACAACCATGGGTAGCTAACGAATTGCGTCTAACTATTTCTCTCATGTCTAACTGATTCCTTTTTTCTTCACAGAGCAAATATGATTGCTATGCCACTGAACAAGAGATACTCTTGGAATCGGCTCGCATAGTTAAAGAGCATGGTGCCAGACTGGGAGCTACTTGGCAATCATAATCGTGGATTCGTGGTTCGATAGAGCCTGGCAAAGATTGTTTCCTCACCATGTAAATGTTCAACCGAACCATCCTCTGCCAAAATCGACTTGGAAACCCTGAGTCTCGCAATCTGCACGAAACCTTGTGATTGTTAACAACACTGTCTATCACTTGATCCATGACCTTGGCCAAGTGGGAGATTTCGGGAAGACTTACTGGTTCCCATCTGAAATGTAATTAGCCTTATGACACAGGTCAGACGAATTCTTCTTCTTACTTTTGATTATTATGGGCTCTCATGATTTTGAAAATATCATAAAGCTAGTTGTGACATTTGACCGTTTCTCATAAAAACACAGTCCTTTACCTCCTCAGAAATGTCAACATCGAAGGGCCTGCCTCTACAGCCCCGAGCAATAATCAACGTCTTTAAGAAGAAGACTCGGCAGCAACAATATCGAATCATTCCATTCTCTTCCCCATCTTCGTTCCTCAGAGAAAGAAAAACAGATGGAGAATAGTCTACCGATCAGCAATCGCAGCAGCGAGACGGAGTACGAAGACCTGCTGCCGGTGATGGCGGAGAAGCTGGACGTGGAGGGCTTCGTGAAGGAGCTGTGCGGTGGCTTTCAGCTCCTCTGCGACGCCGAGAAGGGGCTCATCACAGCTGCGAGCCTGCGGGCGAATTCGGAGCTCCTGGGGATGGAAGGGATGACGGAGCAGGACGCGGAGGCCATGGTGAGGGAAGGAGATCTCGACGGCGACGGAGCGCTGAGCGAGACGGAGTTCTGTATCTTGATGGTGAGGCTGAGCCCCGGGATGATGGAGGATGCCGAGGCCTGGCTGGAGAAGGCTCTGCATCAGGAGCTGCAGCGCACCAGCTCCCGTCCTCCTCTTTGAAAAGAAGAAAAGGAAGCTCTGGAAATGGAAGAATACTATTCTGGACTGCTTGTTTTTTCCTTTGTTTGCTTTGTATCTGCTGCTGCTGGTGTGATTCCTGCAAATAAATATGTGGAGAACGAGATCCCCAAATTCTGGGAATTAATTGCATAGTCCAAAATTAACCAGTGAGCTGTTCTTCTATTGGCTGCTCTTTTGTGATCTTTAATGAAATCACCTACCGAAATGTATGTAGGAACCCGAATCGATCGATGGTGATTAATATTGTGAACTCATCTTTAATGAAATCACCTACCGAAATGTACGTAGGAACTCGAATTGATTGATGGTTATCAATCCCCGTACCTTTCGCATGCTAAGCGAGCGCTCTACCATCTGAGCTACATCCCCGTCGTTGTGCATTGTACTTAGGTAGATTTACGAATTGTGTGTTTATAATATAAAGTCCTAGTAAAATTTTCTAACCATTTGAGTTCGTAGGTCGCACTATAATTTCATAGAGAACAATTGACGCGGAACTCTACATACGCTATAAGTAAAAGCCTCTAAATAACTTAATTGTACTTGATGACAGATCTGGATTCTGATTAAGAAAACTATGTTACAAATAGCGAGAGATAATGTGAAATCTGATTTAATGAAGTGAAGTCACCAGCTCTATATTTATGCACAGAACATGCTAATATAGAGTAACCCGTTAGCACACAAATGCTTAAGTAATTGACTCTTTGACATTACAAATAGTGTGAGATATTGTGAGCTCATCATCTTTAATGAACCGATGGTGATTAATCAATTAACACAATTAAATAGATTTTAAAAGATGATAAAATGATGGAGATGCAGGATATAAATCCATGTACCTCTCGGCTCTCGCATGCTAAGCAAGCCCTCGATCATCTGAGCTACATCTAGGGATGGCAATCAAACTCATGGCCGCGGGTATCCGACCGCCCCCGACCCAGTCAACGCGGAGAATTTCCGCTTTGACCGGGTATGGGGCGGATATGGGTAAAACCCGCAAAAAGTTTGATGGGTATGGGGCGGGTTTGGTTTTAGCCTCCCTCGCCCCATACCCATACCCGCCCCCACCAATAGAATTTCTTCATATATAAAAAAAAATATGTGCATCAAATTATAATCTATCAATGATGATGAGGATAACTTGAGAAAATAAATAGTAGAAATGCAATCGAGTGACCATCTTAATCAAAATCTAATTCATTTCTCTCAATTCTCATTTCACTATTTCACTTTCCCCCTTGTCAACAAGATTATGTTAGTTAATTATTACTTAGTAGATGTATCAGAATTAGAACATAATAATTTGAAAAATATTACTCTATATTATGTACTAATGGATATTTTAGGATCATATTATTTGAACCATATTAAAAAATTACTGTGTTTTGTTGACTTCATGATATAATATGTTCGTTTAGAGTTATAATTAAAACTTTTCTTGTAAGTTTTAGGTATAATAATGTTGGATGTACGGGTATGGGTATTACCCATGGGTACCCGAAACCCACGAGTATGGGGATGAGTTTGCAAAACATTCCCCGCATGGGTATGGGTTTGAGTATTTGAAGATGGGGATGGGGATGGTTTAGAAAAACCCGCCCCATTGCCATCCCTAGCTACATCCCCATTGTTGTGTTGTTTGCTTAGATAGATTTATTAATCGTTTGTTTATAATATAAAGTCCTAGTAAACATTTTAACCATTTGAGTTCGCCAGTCGCACTATAATTTCATTGAGAACAATTGAGCGAAACTCTACATATACTTTGAGTGAAAGCCTTTAGATAACTTAATTATACGTGATGACGGGTCTGGGTTTTGTCTAAGAAACTATGTTACAAATAGTGAGAGATATAGTGAACTCGTATTTAATGAAGTGAAGTCACGAGCTCTATATGAACCAAGCTTGTCAAACCGGATTAAGCCATCAAACCGAATTGACAAGTGATTTGAGGTTTAATGGTCGGATCAGTTTCACCGAGTTCAAGTCGATTTTAACATAATATGTAATAAAACCTCTAATATTAAATAAATTAAGTATATATTTGACTTATTTTAAAACAACCTCGCTAATCTACATACATATATTACCAAATTATTTCTTCAAAATAATTATATATTACAAAATTATAAATCCTCATTTTCAAACTCGGTTTTGACAAATCAGACCACCCGGCTTTAACTTGTTTAACACGATTTTAACTTTTTCTAGAACCGTCCAACCAGAGTGTATTCCAATCGTCTAGATGACCGATTATGGTCGTACCCGATTGAACCAACTGACTCGATACAGGTATTAGACGTTATCTATAGACTATAATATAAACTCCTAGTGAACTATTCTAATCCTTTGATTTCATTTTCATATAATCGCACTACGATTTCATCGAAACAATTGAGAGGCAGAACCATCCGTGTTTGTGACAAATACTGAATCTGCATATGCTCTCAGTGAAAGCTTCTATATCACTTGGTTGTACGTGATGACCGGACTACGTTATGGCTAAGAAAACTATTTTACAAATTTTGAGAGATATGGTGAACTCGTCTTTAATGAAGTCACCAACCCTATATTAATACAACGAACACAAAAATATAGAGCAACCTGTTAGAACACGAATGCGGAAGTTATTGACCGTGTGATATGACAAATAACAATACTTATAGATTAAGAATCGATCGTAAGCTATCTGGTCATCAATATGTTTGTTTGGAGGAAATGATCGATCGTAATGACCCAATTAACATAAGTAGAGAGATTGTAATGAACCAATTAGAAAAATAAAAAAAAAGTGGAGATGCGGGGTATCGATCCCCATACCTCTCGCATGCTAAGCGAGCGCTCTACCATCTGAGCTAAATCCCCAATGATGTGCATTCATCTACAATATTTGTCAAGTCTTTTCTTCAATTCATTAACCCTTTTCTTTCAGCTTCGTCGAATCACGCTTCTTAGTTCGTTACCTTTCTCCATTAGTACGGTGATAAATACTGAATCTACATACACTCAGTCTCGAGCACTTCGTTGTATTTGATGACGGATCTACTGGCTGAGAAAATTCAACACTGATGCAGAAGAAGTGGAACACGACCCAATCTTTTGGAATAAACAGAAACATATCATTTAACTAGAGGACATGATGAATATTCTAAAGCATATGGTTCAGCAGTAGTACAAGGGCGAAACTTTGGCATCTCATTGTCATATCTCAAAAAAAAAAAGTCTTGAAGACCAAATTATTTCTTCAAAATAATTATATATTACAAAATTATCAATCCTCATTTTCAAATTTGGTTTTGACAAATCAGACCACCCAGTTTTAACTTGTTTAACACGATTTTAACTTTTTCTAGAACCGTCCAACCAGAGTGTATTCCAATCGTCTAGATGACCGATTATGGCCGTACCCAGTTGAACCAACTGACTCGATACAGGTTTGGAAACCTTGGTAGGAACCGATAGTGCACCTATATCACTCTTATAAAAAAAAAACAGTGGAGATGCGTGGTATCGATCCCCGTCCCTCTCGCATACTAAGCAAGCGCTCTACCATCTGAGCAACAACTACATCCTCGTTCTTCTACATGTTGCTCAGATACATGTATTAGACGTTTATCTATAGACTATAATATAAAGTCCTAGTGAACTATTCTAATCCTTTGATTTCATTTTCATATAATCGCACTACGATTTCATTGAAACAATTGAGAGGCAGAACCATTGGTGTTTGTGACAAATACTGAATCTGCATACGCTCTTAGTGAAAGCTTCTCTATTAGTGATGGCAATGGGACGGGGCGGGGCCCCGCCCCACGCTACTACGGGTCGGGGTGGGTAAAACCCGCGCGGGTACAGGGCGGGGCGGGTCGACCCACTCTTACATGTTGTTAAAAAAAAAATACAAGTACATTTTACTTTTTACAATAAAACGTAGGAAAAACACTTTAAGAATGAAAAAGATTGATAATAGAATGGATAATTGAGCCTAACAAGTTGAAAGATCGACTCTAACTAGTTGAAGAAAAGTCAAAATAGGAGAAATATGTATAGATATTGTAAGAAATTGAGATAAAATGAGTCTAGAACGGGGCGGGGCGGGGCAGGGCGGTCGGAAGTAGATACCCATGCCCCGCCCCACACTACTGCGGGTCGGGTAATACCCGCCCCATCTCGGATCAGGTCGGGTAATACCCTCGGGGCGTGTTGAAATTGCCATCACTATTCTCTATCACTTGGTTGTACGTGATGACGAGTCTACGTTCTGGCTAAGAAAACTATTTTACAAATTGTGAGAGATATTGTGAACTCGTCTTTAATGAAGTCACCAACCCTATATTAATACAACGAACACAAAAATATAGAGCAATTTTTTAGAACACGAATGCTGAAGTTATTGACCGTGTGATATGACAAATAACAATACTTATAGATTAAGAATCGATCGTAAGATATCTGGTCATCAATATGTTTGTTTGGAGGAAATGATCGATCGTAAGATATCTGGTCATCAATATGTTTGTTTGGAGGAAATGATGGATCGTAACGACCCAATTAACATAAGTAGAGAGATTGTAATGAACCAATTAAAAAAAATGTTAAAATAGTGGGTGGAGATGCGGGGTATCGATCCCCGTACCTCTCGCATGCTAAGCGAGCGCTCTACCATCTGAGCTACATCCCCAATGATGTCTAATCATCTACGATAGTTTTTAAAGACTCTAGTAAACAATATGAAGTCCTTTCTTCAATTCATTAACCCTTTTCTTTCAGCTTGACTCTAGTAAACAATATGAAGTCTTTTCTTGAATTCATTAACCCTTTTCTTTCAGCTTCGTCGAATCACGCTTCTTAGTTCGTTACCTTTCTCCTTTAGAAGATTGATCGTTGGCAAGTTTGCACTAAGATTTCATCAACAAACAATTGAGGCAGAACGATGAGTACGGTGATAAATACTGAATCTACATACACTCAGTCTCGAGCACTTCGTTGTATTTTGTCTACTGGCTGAGAAAATTTAACACTGATGCAGAAGACGTACACGAACCAATATTTTAGAAGAAACAGAAACACATCATTTTAACTAGAGGACATGATGAGTATTCTAAAGTATATGGTTCAGCAGTAGTGAAAGGGCGAAACTTTGGCATCTCATTGTCATATCTCAAAAAAAAGTCTTGAAGACCGAAAATATAAAACAAGGAACAAAAGCTGACAAATATCCAGTGAATCAAAACTATTAAGCAGCTCCAGCTCCCTTGCCCTTCTTCTTCTGCAACTTCTTCATATAGAACTCCAGCTCTTTGCCCTCCAAGATGTATCTGTCAAGTCACAAAAGGGAAAGAAAACAGTTATAATGGCTAATGCAGACTCAAGAACATGGTATCATATAACGATATCAAACACTTTAGCATGAGAGAATTTGAGAATTCAGACGTACCCATCAGCACGGCCACATTGACCAGGGCGTGATGAAATGCAAGCTAACAAACGCCCACCGCCGAACTGCTCCTCAATATGTGAGTCAAGCTGGCGGGTCTGCTGCCTCTTCTCCAGCTTCCTTGTCACATGGCTGCTCTTCTTCACTTCTTCAGGGACAGCTTCAGCTTCCTAGATACCCAGTCAGTTCGAGAAGTAAATAAGGGAAGAGAGTCAGCACTGCAAATTATAGTTTCTCCTATTACATATATCTCTGAAACACTCATTACCTCTCCTTCCTTCTTGGCAGCTGCTGCTGCAGCTGGGTTCTTCTTCTTGCGACCAATGTCAACACCATAGTGCTGAAGATACCACTGCTTGAAAGGTGCTGCGTCGACCTGAACAATGGCACTCTTGACCAAAGTCTGAGTACGAACCAACTCATTGTTAGACGCATTATACACCACGTCGAGAAGTCTGGTCTTCCTGGTCACCGCCTCGCTACCCCATGAGAAGTTTCCAGTATCGAGCCTCAATGCACGCCATTTCACATTGCCTCCACGAACCCTCACTCTCCTGACTGTCTTGTTGCTGGAGAGCTTGGTGTTGGCAGGCTGCCTTCCGAGCTCATACCTACACAGTATTGAAGTTTGACCCAAGTGAATACATGCTGGCCATCGATTTAATCCTCACTCAACAGAAACAGTCGACAGGGGCACCAAACGAATTGGCACCCTCGAAACAGACCGATGAGGCCATATCTTCACTACCCACAAGCCACAGACAGCATGCGATATATCATTCGTTTAAAACTCGAGATTCACTGCTTAGAAATGAGCATATCAGTCTAACCTTAGTGAACTTGTAAGTAACAAACCCAATTCAACTAACCTCAAACAAACTAAGACCTAATCAAATTAAGTCAATAAACCCCTAAAAAACACTGAAACCATATCTCAGAACTCTTTCCTTGTCCTCGCAGCAGGAACGGGATGAAACAGAGCGACATTACGCAAACCCTAGTGGGAACGAAGAAGAACACCAGAGAATGAAATTCGAGGGGACTCACTTTCGCTTCTTCCTCCATGACTTCTTCTTGCCACCAGTGGCTCGCCTCTTATGCATCGAATCACGGGAGATCCCTATCCATATCCAACACCAAAACCATAAATGAACCAAATCAACATCAACTACCTACAACAATGATTCAAAACCTGAAAAACCATATGATTCTCGAGAATCGGAGATGAATAAGACATACCCATTTTCGCAGAGTGAGGAGTCGACGGCTTTCTGCGGCCCTCTGGATATCAGCAGCCCTCCGGGGTACAGAAAACACAGCTTCGGCAGGAAGAGAAGATTAAGCCAGGCGAAGGCTAAAGGTGTTATAGTCCAAAAACCCTAGTCTTCCAAATTACGTCATTGTCCTGAGCAGTGCTCGTGTTTGGTTGGGTAAAATCGTAAATTTGGGTCCAGAACGACCGGATAAGCCCAACAAACTAGCCCACCTAAGAGAAAGGGCTCGTTTACTATCCAGGCGAGTGGTAACAACAATCCCGTTGCCGGAGGACGAGCCCGGCGGCCGGCGAGTCACTTTCATTCGTTGTGAACAATGGCACTAAGGCAAATTGAAGAAGGGAACCCAGGTGAAGAAGCGCTTGGCTCTTGGTAAAGCTTCGTCTTTTCCGATCGGCACTTACCTAATGTGCTAGTTAATTCGGTTCTTCCTTCCTGGATACATATATTCCGTTTGGGGTAGACTCCCGATCACTTCGTCTGGTGGGGTTTCTTGAGATACTGTTTTGAAGGCTGAGATGAGCTTTTCGACAGTGAGTAATTTGGGTTCTCGCGTTGATGTGACGAGATTCCGTGGGAAAAGTGCTGCGGAGGTTGTTCAGTCTTCGAGTGGGAAATGGAGGTTTGGTGTCAATCTTAATTGTCGGGAGTCGCTGCCTTGCCGCCGGAGGAAAAACTTGATGTGCCAGAGTGAACTTGTTGATTTCGAGGAGAGGACGAGTCCGCATGAGGTAGCCACTTTTTCCCACTCCTTTCTCCATGTTCTGAGGTTACCAGTTCAGAGCTTTTTGTGGTTTCTATGATTATAGTTTGTAAGGTGCCTTGGTGTTCGGGGTTTTGCTTCCAAGTTCATAGCTTTCAATGATTTGTGTTTATGTGCTGTTGTTTAGAACTCCAGTCACGGCAATAAAGGCAGAATTTAGAGTAGGGTAGCTTGCTAGATCAAGAAGCAAGAGTTTGTTGGATGGGTTATAGATTAGATCAATTGCTGTTCTGAGTGATTCACGATGGGTCCATTTGATGCTTGCAGCGTATTGTATTAGCACCTCTGTGGAGTTGAAGGTTTGTTAGTCCGTTTGCTAGGTTTGCTTGATGGTTGATGTTCTACTGCTATAAACCTTACTGTGGGAGCTTAATGGTCAACTTGTGTCTTCTTCTTGTTTTGAAGATCAGAAAAGAGGTAGAGCGATGTTACGATCTAATAAATCGACTCGGAAGAGGAACTGTTTATCTGGGTTCTTCACGAATGGGACCGGATCATCCACATTACTCGAAAGCATTTGAGCTTGGGAGAGAGGCAAGTCGGTCCGTATTGCCTATAGTTTCTATATTTAATGTTCATTATAGTGGATTGAAAAGTTTCGAGAAGATCACAATGACATTTCAATCATAAGATCACAGTGACATTTGATCCTGTTTTTGTTTCCAGATTGCTAAGCTTTTGGACTGCACATCATGGACAGGGGCTGGTCCAGGTCTAATGGATGCTGCTACTAAGGGCGCATTGCAAGCAGGAAAGCCTGTTGGTGGATTCAAGATAGGTAAAGAAGCTGGGGAATGGACAGCCTCAAACTTTCATTCTTACCTTCCCACAGAAACCTATCTTACATGCAGGTAAAACAACAATTACTAGTAGTAGTGTTGCTTTAAGCCCCTCCGTTTGTGCCTCGATAGCAGAACTGATAATGTTTTCAGACGAATGGCAGGTTCTTCTCAGCCAGGAAACACGGGCTAGTAGATGCTGCAGTGAGGAACGAAGCTACTGATCGGACTGCGGTGGTTGCTCTCCCAGGTGGGATTGGTACTCTTGACGAGATGTTTGAGATATTAGCATTGATTCAGCTGCAAAGGATTGGATCGGAGCTTCCAGTACCCTTCATCGTGATGAACTATGACTCGTTCTACAAAAACCTGTTGGAGTTTCTAGACGATTGCGAGTACTGGGGCACTGTTTCGAGAGGCGAGGTTGCATCGTTGTGGAAGGTATGCGAGAACAACTCGGAAGCTCTTGCTTACTTGGCTGGTTTCTACCATCTATCTCCCTTGGACTAATAGTGAAAGGGCATGAACCGTGAGCTCAGAAGTGCCACCTGACTTTTGAGTCATCTTTGGCTAGTCTCAGGAAGCATCTATTCTTTTTTTTTCTTTTCTGTTGTTCTTTTTTGAACTGAAGGAAATACCTATTCTGATTTGGAATTGTGAAGAGCAAACAGATGAGTGACCAATTTCCAACCAGGATTATTAAATAGTAACCAATTTATGCGGTTGGAGATAGCTCCTACCACCTCGACAATCATTTGTTAAGTTCTTTCAAATCTTGTTTGGGCAAATGAGGTAGAAAGAGTTAGAATTTGAGAGAGAGATAAACATCACTCTTGAGGAACAGATGAGGGTTCGTTTTCGAATGTCAAAACGAAATAGTGTACTTTGCAAGGAACATTGTGCAGCAGAGTCACTCATTTGACAAAATGCAGCATTCGCCTCACCCTACTCACTGATGATCGATACACATGAACAAAACTATATCTACAAAAGAGGGAAAAGGGACAGCTTTCAAAATTCTAGAAAACTTATATGACTAAAACCCTCAGGACTCGGTTGGGATCTGATACCAGAGAGGTGAAAGCATTCGAGTCTTTAGTCCGTCTTAGTTTCAAGGCTCATTCATCAATCATACATTGTCCTAGACTCTCGGTTTACGAGTGTTCAAGCACTCCAGGGTCCAGGGCTCGGAGATTTGATGCGGCGCTTCGGTTTCCTCAAGGAATCACAGAAGAAAGAGAAGGCCTTGCTTAGGTCTTCTGGAAGCGGAACTGAGAGGGGGAGCATAAGGGATCGAGGCAGGCGATGGTTGTCAAGTCTTGTGCTGCTCATGTTACTAATTGGATGAGCAAGTGCTGTTTGCTTCCTGTTCATCCCTTCGACGATGAACGAGAAGGCTCCAAATGTGACACAACTCTGCAACATAGCCTGAGGTGCACCTGCATGCATAGTAGCCCGTATCATTGCCGAAAACGCTATCGTAGCTTTTAAGGAGGATTCAAAGGCTTTGTGCCTATCAAAGACAGTTAACCTTGTCATCAAATACCTGGGAAGCTTAAAGCAAGACCCGTGCAACATCCAGCAACACCAGCATTGATGACTGCAAAGACAGCATACATACATAGTCAGTCAATTTGCATCCCTGAATGTGTGTACACACTCTGTTTATAAAGGCAAGAAGGAAAAAATCAGAGAGATTTAGTTCTCATCTCATACCATCATCCTTCCCACGAATCCTCTTCAGAAAGCATATGACCAGGCTGTGCACTCCAGACAAAACAGCAAACGTCTGGTGCATCCATGTTATAAACACGAAAAACAGAACTGTCTGTCAATAAGTACGCAACCTATGGTTCCTCAGATTGCATAAATTAAGCTTGAAGAAACATTTGCATTTGTATGAAACTTTTAATTAGGTTTGCCACATAGCCAAGCAGTGGCCACTGGCCAAGTAAAAGAAGAGGGAATTTCCACTCTTAATAATTCAAATCCAAGCACATTACTTGCTAAGGAATGAGCGACACATTCAAATTTCAAACCCATCAAGATCATCAGCCACAGCCCACAAGTCCTACCTTTGCATGAGAACCTGCCTCCCCGAGAGATCCCTTAAAACCTTTCTTCCTAAATAATCCAGAACCTGTAACATGCCAGAATTAACTCACAGTCATGAGCAAATTCTCAAACACATAAGAGTATCATAAACGAGTTGACAATCTAGCTGAAGCTATCATTTCCACAGAACAACCAGCTTCTCGAGGTTTACAAGTTATCCTACTGCCAAACAATTGGGATAAAAAGTGAAATATTTTTCAGAGTTATGAGCTAAAGGAATCAGGCAGCTCTTGTTTCTCTGATTAGAGGGAAACCAATCACCAAGATGGAAAAGAATTGTCTGCCCATATCCAAGTAATGACTTCCTTGCTACAAATACAACAATCAAACTTTTCGTTTCCCCGAGTGGCTTATTCCTCATGAGCCTATCATACCAATAAGGCAAAAACAATGAATTGAAGCTCTAACACAGAGCATAAACCCTAGTCAAGCAAAGCTGAGAAAGTTTACAGCCCTCGCTTCCGAGAACAATAGCCTGCTGAAAATGCAAAATGAACTACTAATGACGAAAGCCAAAGAACCCTAAAATGTCAATTATGACACCACCACAAAATCCAAAAATCCGCGGAAATCCCATATGCGCTATACTGAACAGCTCCAACCAGCACTACCACTTGTTAACAGCTACGTAAACGAGATAAATGGAAGGAGGAGAAAGAGAGATACCAAAACCGAAGATGGAGCCCATCAACGCGCCGCCGGCGGCCTCGCTAGCGAATCCGAGGAGGCAGACGGCAGGACTGGCGGGGATGACGGCGGAGGAGGGAGGTTGAATGGGAACCAAGGAGTCAGTGGAGGATGAGGAATAAGGAGTTGGGTTTTCATTGGAATCAGGGAGATCAACGTCGGAATTGGAGGGGTTTGGAGAATCCGCCGTCGCCATGTCTATCTCTTTCAGGGTGAAATGCCGCGGCCCGCGAGTCGACTGCAAGGAGGCAAAATACTGAATATGCTGTGGGTGGCCTCTTTAGCTTTTGCTCGCAGTTTATTAACTGATGGAGACCTTTTGAGGAGACAGCCAAGCAAAGCTATGTCGTTTTACCCATATCGACATCCTAATGCTCTATGTAGTCTATATACCATATACTCTATATCAAGACTAGCGCAGAGTCCGGCCCGTTGGCCGGAAAGTTGTTATTGACATGCTTTCTTTTTCTCATTTTAGTTTTGTGTTTTTTTATGGCGTCTAAAGTCAGTGAGATGGAACAACAGTGATGATATATAATTTGCTAAACAAAATGCAACTAATGAGCTTGTTCGATTGTTTAGTGGTCATAGTTTGAATTATTGGTCAATTAAAATTCGTGAAGCAGTTTAGGGGATGCTCTAAATTAACAGGGAACACCTACCAGATAAAAGTCTCCTATAAATTTGTAGACAATTGATATCTTGTAATCATCGTAGTGTGGGATCACTTGCTCCTTTCTCTCCATATTTGGTTGTGGAGTTGCAGCAAATTTGCAAGTTCACCTATATATTTTGCCTGATAAATGAGTAGATATCTATGATGCCTCAATGCCACAACTAATAAAATGAGAGGAGTTGTCTTCATGTAGAGGGAGTGGTCGTTTCCCGAGACAGATAAAGCAAAAGAGAATCAGTAACACAGGTCGAAAGCAAAGTTATAGAAGCACGAAGACAATAATATCGTGACTCATATTCGCTTGGCCGCATATATATCCAACAAACCTCCATTCCCTCGATAATCTATATAATTGGCATATAAAAAAAACCTAGAGTTTAAGATTTTGATTTTGTACCCTCGCTGAAACTCCATAGCTATGGTGGATTCGAATTCAAACTGTGTAAATAAATCATGATGCACAACAACAACCGAAATGAAGTCTTATTGAGCTCATCAATCAAAGCACGTAGCTCAGGTTATTCAAACATTATCTTACCTAGAGGTGGAAATTCTCAATTCAATCCATCCATCCATCCAATAAAAATATCCAACTAATCCAATCCATTTGATCCAAATCCAATTGGATTGGTGGATTCATGGATTGGATCCATGGATCATTGACAAATTACAGTTTAGTACATATAATTTTTATTTTTTATATTTTGGTACCTAAAATTTAATTTTTATACGAAAATATCATTGGAAAATTACATTTTGGTACCTAAAATTTTTTATCATGACACTTTAGTACCTAAACTTTTCGCATTTTACATATTGTTCATTGGTTGAAGATGTCATTTGATTCATAAATAATCCACCAATCCACTTGATCCAATCCATGAATCCACCAATTCGTTGGATCAAATCCATTTGATCCATAGATCCACCGCTCCAATCCACCAATCCAATACATTTGCCACCTCTAATCCTACCAATATAAATATAAGGGGATTTAACAACTTCTAGCTATAATACTTTGCATAACCACTCAAAAGTCAAGTGTTCCTGCTTTTTGGACACATAAAAAATTAAAACTAATAATTGTTCTTATATTGTATTTATTCTTGTAGAGTTCAAGTAACAACATATGAGCTCATAATTTGAATATACCTTATACATTATGTTGGATGAAAATCTGAACCACCATATAGAATGACAATATGGCAGGCAGAAAAGAGATTTATCGAGCGTCTTTTTCGGCGTCGGTACGGGAATCTCGATACCCATACCCGCTCCATGGCAAGTCAGGGTCCAGATTAGGTAATTTATCATAGAGCGCGGGTCAGGGAAGATCAACTCATATGGGTATGTGATTTAAAGGGAAAATGTTAGAAATATTCTTCTTTTTTTTGTTAAAAATCCAAGAAACAAACTATAGCATGATTAATATAGTTAAATTATTCGAGAAATTGAGGTTCTCACCTAGCTGGCATCTCATTATAGCTAAAAATGAAGTAACCAAAGTATAATCCTTAGTCATTTGAGTATAATTACATGTAATTTAGGCATAAACGCGCAGAGAATGAGGCGGGTCTATACAGGTCAGGTCGAAGAGAGTATATATGTCCACCCTGCCCCGCCTATGGAGTGGGTATTACCGGTAGGAAAAAGGAGATTTTTCTCATTCAAACATCTTTGATCATTTTATTTGAAATAACGAAAAGATGACCAACAATCCCTTCCATTATTATTAATGTCTAAAGTGTTGCATTCATCTAGTTTTGCAATAATAGCTTGTTCCACATCAGGATTAACTATATTTTATATATTTCGGGTTTATTTACTTAATTTTGAAGTACATTTAAAATGTTCATTTTCAAAGTTACCGTGAAAAAAAAAGTTCATTCTATTCAATATTTCTATTGGGTAATGAAAAATAAAAAAATGTTTAAATTAAAAAAATCACAAAACATGTCAAATAGGTCGGGTAAAGCGGATCTGGTCGAAATTGACATACCATTGGTATATATTTTTATGTGGTAGCTATTTGTGATGATGGTAAGATAATTATATTAATTGCATGTATATATGATAAATGTTAACTATGAGTTGATTATTATGTTTTATTCGTTATATATATTATTATGAATTGTTATTAACATGGATTTTTTTCCTACTTAATGATAAAATTATGTTATATTAATTAATATATTTAACCAAATCGAACAAATTTGTACAACAAACAAATTCATGATTGATTTGGTTAAGATATAAAATTTCATGATTGATAGAAATGAGTCTTAATCGATTTGGTAAATCTTTCACAAAAGTTTCAAATTCCTCCATGAACATAGAATGATACTTGTTTCTTTAAGAATTTTATAAAATCAAAATAAAAAAATACTAATTTTGATAGTCGAAATCAAATTATTTTATTACTAATTTTGATAGTAGAAATCAAATTGCAATATTTTTTTTACTCTAATTCAATCCAATATAGATCAAATAGATATTTATGGCTATCTTACCTGCCATAGATCTCGCCAATTTAACACCCCTAACTACAAATTATCCTACACCATACGGAGCTTGACCCAGCCAATAATGTGCAGCTAATCATATAGTTTAGGCCTAGGGAATGGAGGATCAATCGGCCTCTTGTATGACTAGGTCTGACTGCATGGAAAACTTGAACTGGGGATGACCATGAAAGCATGACTTCAATCATGGTGCGACCTCAAATATAAGCTAATATTGCATATATCCTAATTAATTTTGCAGACCTCAAATCCGGAATTGTTGGTTTCAGTGTGGTTGTAATTTTTTTCACAATCTAGGCCCATCAGGTTTGGGCTTTAGTTCGTCGCTCAGTGGGGCAGAATACTTGAGATCTAAGGTTTGGTTTTGCATCACCGAAACGCAGAGCAGCATTAAGTGGGTATGAAATACCCGGAGTACCCTTCCGGGAAACACTCCCGTGCCAGCAATTTCAAATTGGCGAAAAGTTGACACATGAATTGCTATTATATATTTTGTAGATTGTCAGATCGGTTTATACCATGACGACAATTTAGCAAGTGGTATGGTTCAAATAGAGTACAACTGGTTTGTGTACCATTTTTAACAAAATATTCGAGGAAATGGAAAATTATTAACACCAAATGAATTGTGCACTTACATCATCTAGTTTTAAGAAAATCTACCTATAATCTTCATTTGCATTTAAATAAAATACTACATTGCGAACAAAACAACAAATCATAATATTTAAATGCAACATTTAATGTCAACAACCAAACGTTTATAAGACAAATTTCTTTCTTTGTTTTCCAGCTTGGGTAGTGGTGTCCCATGTCCAGCAGAGGCGGTGCTAGTGCGATTTGATGGTGCTCTGAAACGAGGTGTTGGAGGCAGCATTGGCTTCGTAGGATTCGATGCTTCAGGGACAATAAGCTTTGCATTTGGAAGGTATTATGATGGGATGTCAGATCCTTTTCTTATGGAACTTCTTGCTCTTCGAGATGCAATGAAATGGTGCCTAACTAAGTCTCTTGTTTTGGCAAAATTTTATGGTGATTCGCAACTGGTGATACGACGGGTGCTGGCCGGGGATCATGGGCATGACCAAGGTGGAGCTGTACTTGAGGACGTCTCCTTGTTGGCCAAGAGCTTTATCTTCTGCTCCTGCCATTTTGCTCCTCGGAGCTTTAATAGGGCTGCCCATCTTATGGCGAAACAGGCCCTTTCATCGGAAGTTCGGCGTTTAGTCGATTTTCGCCCGTGGTTGTTGTCTGCTCTTTGACTATGTGGTTTCTGTATTCTTTGACTATGTTAAAAAAAAAAGAACATTATTAGTTAACCGTTCCGATGAATTACTCGTATTCTCAATTTTCACAATCTCTTTACTGGTTTGAACTACCACGTCATACCGAGTTTGAACTACCATTTCATGCCGGTGGTTTTCAAGCCGGATTTTTTCCAATACCAATTGAACCCTCATGTTATCTCGATGAGGTGCATGTTTTTGTTCACCAATTTGGAAATGTTATTTCAAATCATTTATACACAAATAAAAAATTTCAGAAGACCACAACATTAGGATCTCGACACAACAAAAAATGAATTTTGAACAAGCAAATAGCCGACAGCCAACAACAATAAAGCATTGACCCGAGTAGGGTCTCGAAACTCTAATCAAACAATTTCGTTACAAACTAGCTCCCTGTTTCACCAGTAATCAATCAATTCTGATCAGTAATGGTGATCTTGATAGATGGCTCCAAACTCAGCTCTCCACGCCTGATCATCATCCGGTACACTACTCTCCGGCAGCAACTCCGACTCTTCTCCGTCGTACATCGGCCGCCGTGCACTCTCCGGCAGCCTGCTATCCGCCAGATACTGCTTCATCGTCACCATCTCCATCTTGTGCTTCCTCTTCATCTTCTCCATCTGCTTCTTCAGCTTCTCATTCTCTTCCCCAACGCTCCCACATTTGTCCTGCTCACCATCACCAAAAACACAAACTTGTTTAGATATTGTTGGATCAAAATCACAAAAGAAGTTTACTTTGTGAAGAACCCACCTCGGCAAACGATGCAGCTTCCTCAGCTTCCCTCAGCCTGACGAGCACTTCCCCTGCAGTATGAACAGCTTCAGCAGTATCCCTAAGCTGGAGCTTCAAGCTCTTGTTCTCCTTCCTCAGCAGCTCCCTCTCCCTCTCCCTCTCCACCCTCAACGCAGAAAGCTCTGCCGCCAGCGACTTGGCGAACCGGCGGCCGCCTTTGGTTCCCGCCTTGGCTGCAGCCCTCTTCACCTCTGCTATTCCTTCCATCATTGCTCGGTGCTTGGCAACCAAGTCGTTGTGCCTGTCCTGCAGATCGGCGTAGTGCTCCACCATCCTGGCGTGTCCAACCACGGCCCTGTGGAGAGCGTCGTCCAATTCTTCGGTCACGGCCTTCTCCAGCCTGAGCTCCGTCTCCACTTTCTCTGCCTGCCGGCGGCTGGACTCGAGGTCGATCCTCAGCTCGTCGGTTAGGGAGATCCAGTCGCTCTCCATTTCCGTCCACCTCTGTCTTTCCTTCTCCAGTTCTTCGACGTCGTTGAAGGAGCTGGAATTGCTGCGACGCATGTCTATGCTCTTCCGGAATTGAATGGATCGTGTGAGCAGAGATGATCTGAGCAAGTCGGTAGATTTCGTTGAAGGTGGTGCGTCGGTATACGTCTTCAACTTGGCCTCTAGAGTTTCGATTTCGTTCAGAAGTTCTTCTTTCTCCCTCGTGTCGGAACTTGTGTGTGCTTCATCTGAAACCATTTCTTTCACTTCACATTCGTCATTTCCCTCCTTAGAACCAGGTCTCAAACACTGCAAAAAGATTGGTAGCAAAATAAGAACTGGGAAATAAGGCCAAAATCCCATATCACTTTCCAACAATCAAAAAGCTAACCTTGGATGGTGCCTCCAGAGCTAGTATATAGCCATTTTGCATGGGCTGCTGTTCTGCAACTTGTTTGTATTCTTCAACCTGGATCAGAAACATTCGAGATGGTCACAACCAACAATAGAGAGTTTTAGTTTACAAAAGAAAGGGGACAAAGCAGAAGTTCACAGAAGGAATCATCACCATCTTATTTAGCTCCTCAATTTTTGCTGCCTGCTCCTTGCAAAGAATTTCAAATTCCTTCTCTCTAGTGCTAACTTTCACTAGCTCATCACCGCTTGAACGCTGAATTTGATCATTGCATACAGAATATGAGAAACCCAGTTGAAAAAATCATCATAGAAAATAAAGTAGCAGAAACTTCTGCAGCAATTAAAGAATCAAGGTTCAGGGAAATAAATATACCTTGCTCAGTTCATCAGGATTGGCTACTTCACAGCCTGCCGCAGCCTGAGTAGAGGTTTCATCGACCACAACTTTTTCGCGACACGATGAACAAAGTAAAGAGCCTGAAGAAGCCACTTCTTCAGTAGATGGGAGGGAACCTTCCATGGACTTGTGAACCGAAGCAGTTGGTTTCAATGCGAAGTGTTCGAAAGAGAAAGATGCCGTGGATCTGTTGGACAGCGGCGAGGCTCGTTGGTGATGGTCAATTATCTGCAAGCCCCTCTGAAGGCTAGCAGCCAGGGACTCAGTGGGGCCTCCCAATACCTTGCTTGAACGCAGTGACGATCTAATCTGCTCACTTCTCCTAAACGACCGACTTGCTCCAATTGAGTGGAAGTTTGAGCTCTCTGAAACATTATTCTGACTCGAGGAAAATGCTGATGGTGAGATGGCCGTGCTCTTCCTGGTATTTCCAATTTTAGGAGATTCAGACAGCAGTGGTTCTTGGAGAACTTGAGACTGGCGGCACAAGCTGATAGATATGCTACGCCTGATAGAAGCAGGATCTACGATAAGGCTGCTTGAAAGTTCGTCTATGCCTTTCTTGTTCTTCAATGAATCAATTTCTTCATTTTCAGCTCTAGCTGGACCATCGACTTCATCACCATCTTCAGTCATGGCATCAGTTTCAAAACTTTGGTCTACTGATGTGAAATGCACAGAATCCCTGTTGTCGGATACATCTGTTAAGTTCTCCTCGCCTGAAATTCGGAGCTTCTTGAGATGGTTGTGCAGTTCCATTACATCATCCACGTCAGCAATGTTAGCCTCATCGTCGGAATCAACATCAATCTTGGGCATCATTAAAGAGCGGTTCAAGCTAACTCTTAAGCTATTCAAGCTGTCACGCACATTCCGCCCCCTGAAGTAACCACTTTTACTTCCAGCTGATTTACATGTGTCATATTTTGCCCGGATGAGCTCCTCCTGTTAACAAAAAAACAACAAGATGATGACTTCTGTGGGTCTGCTGTGGTTGATTGTTCACACGCCACAAGCAAAAGTTGTTAACTTGGTTGCAGTTGTGCACAAGGGAACGGAATATTGATGCAATACCTTGAGTTGGCGTATCTGATCACTCAAATCATTTACATCATCCTCCGATATTTCATTTATTACCGGTTTATTTTGGATCGACTTGATTCGCTGTCCAAATCTAAGTGTCCTTAAGGTCTCATTGTCATTTCTGCAGTAAAAATCAACATCCCAATCCTTGTTTCAGACGATGGCACCAGATGGGTAGTATATGAAGTTTGTAGAGAGAAATCGGGGGCTGGCGGTACCTATTATCAGGAGAGATGTTGCAGATAACCGTCAGCTTGGTATTTCCGCCAAGTGACTCCCGAAGCAAATGTGTTAAACAGGACTCTTCATAAGGAACATCTCTGAATTTTTCAGGTTGATCTTCTTTTGCGAGACTGCTCACAATTTGCCTGCACCAGTGAAAACAAAAAACTGTTATTACTTTGTTCTTCAGAAGCTAGAACTCCCATCAGGCAGAATATGGAGGTGAATGGCAAATAGAATAGTACCCAAGCTGAGAGAGGGACTTCTTCACATGTTTGCTTTCCCTGGCTAGCTGCCTCCCTGAATCGTCAGGTTTATTCCTGTCGATCCCGGCAAGATCTACAAAGCTAATTCTGCTAATCTTTGAACTACTGAAACATGTTGACGACATCCCCTGTGAAATGGACCATGTTTTTTGATAAACTTGAAGTGATAGAGGTAATTGAAGCGATTGACAAAGTAAACACAACAAAGGCACTTCCTATCAGTAGAATTGCAAATGTAATGTCAAAAGTACCTTACACCAGGATTCGATTATGAAAGTAAACACAATATGAGATCTAGAGCTCTTAGAGTTTACACTTGTTGCTCCAACTTTTCTACTTGAAAGCCCCTGTATCGAAATTTCTACCGAACAGTTAGATGGCAGAATTCTGCAGGGCATAATGTGCAGCCGACAGAAACTTTAGATCAACAAGACTTCATTGTAACAACAAGAACCACATCCTCACCTTGATTAACATTTGAGCTAAATCCTCATAACTAGTCACGTACTCCTCAGTCAAATTCTCCACAAACAATCCATTTTTTGGATCATCCATTATCTGAATATTTTAGTTGAAGATCCTTACAATTAGAAATGAATTCACTATCAAAATCTTGACTTGAAATGAGAACAAGATGATAAGATGAACAGGTAGTAATGTATCTCTACCTCAAGGTTCCGCTGAACTGGATCAAGCAAGTCCCCAATTTGGTCATTATATATCTACAATAACAACAACAAAAAGAACAATTACTTCAGAACATATTCACAAGGGCCATCTGATTGCCACAAATGCCAGCACAAGTATGCAGAGTTAATACATACCTCAAGGAAAGAACACCTGCACTGGTAATTAGTCTGCTTTCCTTCAGAGCTATCTTGCTCCTACAATCCCAAACGGAAAACAAAAGAGCAAACTCAATCACAAATCTATACTGAAACCTTTAGCATTACCACTCTAGAAAGCAACAACGAAGACTCACTTTTTGAATCTTATCAAACAACATTTGGAAAATCCGAGGAACAATTCCCTGGTGACTGCTAGGTGAAGGATCCGCAACCATGGCGCTTGGAGGACCCCACATTGTGTAGGTCTTCCCACTTCCAGTCTTTTGAATCGCAAATGGAAAGAACCCACCACCAGTAAGCAAATCAATATATAGTATATACTAACAATGAAGTTCAAACGCAGGAAATCTTCAATGTTTCATGGAGTACCTGTCCATAAGACAAGATAGAAGCATTGTACCCAGCCAATGCACTCTGAACCAACGGAATTCCAACTTCCCGGAACACATCTTCCTGAAAGGCAAACCAAGCAGCTTTAGAACCAGTTCTCCAATTTCCAATTTTGCGATATGACATCACAAAACAACAATGCCCTAAGCACGAACCTGGGTCGAATTGGAGTCTAAAACAGAATCGAATGTGAAGTTTCTATCACCAATCGACAGTGAATCTGAAGAATCCTTCCTCACTGTTCGACTGCGCTCCCTTCTCTGGTCATTCAAAACCCTAATTCTCACTACAACCTTCACGGACGGATCAGAAGCTTCCGATAATTCGTTCTTCTCCACTGATTCCGCAGCCTCCACCTTCTGAAAAGAGTCAATTGGTGAGTGAGCAGTAGATCCACCACACTAAACGAGCGAGCAACACTAGCAGCACAACCAAATTTAGCAACAGATTCACACGTCAACTGCCAATTCAAGCGAATCTCTACGTACCTGGACAGTCGGACGGTCCGGCGAGGAGGGAATCGCAGGCTGAACATCGGATTGGAGCGATTTGGAGGAAATCAAGGGTTTTGGAAGCGAAGGAGAGAGCGGAGGATCGCTGATTTGAATGTTGGGGTGCAGAGGAGGATCGTTCTCGCTGCGGAAGAACTTGGACCTGTGCTTCTTCTTGGAAGAGATGGATCTCGGAAGCAAATTTCTGATGGAAGAGGCCGATATGCTCCCCAGGAATCCACTGTCGCTGCCGCGAGTCTCCACGGTGGATCTCATCGTCGGTAATCGGTTGTGTTTGGTTGGTCACCGGTGATGCGGTGATTCTTCCCGAGATAGGAAATTGGATATATGCTGTGTCAATTTGGGGATTTGGAGCGGCGGAGGGAGAGAGAGGTGTGAGAGGAGAAGGACGACTGTGTGTGTGAGAGAGAGTAAGACGATGACCGTTGCCGAAACTTTTATATTTGAATTTGAAAGATAAGAGGCGAAATGACGAAAATGTCTGGGAGGAGCAAGCTGTTTTGTTGCAGTAAAGAGTTGATTATGGATCATACCAGCCGGTACTGGTCTTGAAATCGACATGAATACCATCGACATCATCGACATAAGGTATTGAGATTAAATGTTGTATTTAAATATTAGTATTTGTTATTTAAATATGAATTGTAAGTAAATTGTATTCAAATTATTTATACATGATTAATTTCATTTTTTATATATTTTATTAAACCTACATAAATCGATACAACTAATTATATCATTGGACAAACCATTTAACTTACTAAATTGTAGCAAAAACAATTTCCTATAATGAAACATTACAGTTTCGATCTCGTCTTCGAGAATAAGGTCAAATTCGTCCAGTCCATTCCATTAGCGTTTAAAACAAGTAGCCGTTATGGCCAATTTGTGGGCCGCTGGCCAGAGCGACCAGAAGGCTGTAACTGGACTCGGGCCTGGGTTTCTCTCTAATCTGTGAAACTTAATAGGTCCGGTCCAACAAAATGAGGAGGATAGACTTGTTTGAACGACCTTCTCTTCTCTAAAGCCCAATAAAACAATTACTTCTATGTTCTAACTAAGCCTCTGAAATATCAAAGGCATACGTATCTGATTGGATTTTGGATTAATATTACGAAATTGTTAGAGCGAAGAAAATTAGTTAAGAAACAATATAATTGCACGAAAGTATTATATATATGTATGATAAATATAAAATATTTTGAGTAAAATAATGACCATATTTATACAAAATACATTCATATGTATAATCGGACGAGTTCGGGTTGAATAGTGAAAAAAGTAATGTCTACTCATCACCCGTAATATTCGTATTTGGGTTTTACCTATACCCTTTAAAGTCCTTCATGTTCAGGTTTTACACTACCAAAGTAGGTCGGATTTGGGTGGGTATCCACGGGTATGATTATTTTTGTCATTCGTTTTTGCAAGTGCAACCCTGCTCCTAACAGTAGTGTGAATTGTTTGATTCAGTTTAGAATTGGATCATATCCAGATATGATCGGACTAAAAGTAAAGGAAAATTGAGGATCATAATCGAAACAAAAGCATGTTTTGTTCGAATTGATCCACTATAAATTCAATTTAGTTCTGTTTTTCTTTCATGCTTAACATAATTTATATGATCGAAACCGAATCAAAATATATTCTATCAAATTACAAGGAATAACGACAAATGCCCTGTAAATAGTGAGGTTTGTGAATGGAAAGATGCGTCTTTGAGAAGATGATCGTCGAGAGGGAGACTTCAATTTGGGTTGATGTGCATCAGTTAGGGGTGAACATATCAATCCGTAAATCGATCCAACCCGTCAATCCGAACCGATCCACCCGTAAAACCGTTGAGCTACAAAATATATGGGTGGATCCGGGTTTGTTTATTGTAACCCGTCCACATACACGGTTGGACCTAGTTTGGGAACTCTCCAACCCGGAGAATCCGAACCACCCGCAACTCATTTATATATCATGTTGTCCACTATGTAACCAGTAAGTTCCTTTGCCCTTTCTCCTTTGTTCCAGTTGTTTGAGCTTCTGCAGCCTCGTGATTTAGTTATTCTTTTGTATAAAAGACACTTTTTGAAAATCAATTGCAACTCCGTAGCTAAATATATATATACCAGCAATTTTTTGGATTATCTCACATGAGAATTGCAATTGTTTCAATCTTCTTAGTTTAGCTGTTAGTTTGGTAAGCAAATAAGTTATTAGTAGACAAAAGAGTAAATGAGTAATAGAATTACATATTTCTGTTGGACCGTGATGTATGGGTTGGGTTTTGTTGGATTTACTCTCTGATCCGAACTGATCCAAACCGTGTGGGTTCTAATTTTATTTGGTGGGTTTGGGTTTCATGATGTGTAAACCGTGGTGTATGGGTCGGGTGACTATAATGATCAAAACCCAACCCAACCGACCCATGTACACCCCTAGCATCAGTTGCTTACGACCGAAGAAGAGAGCTCTGATACTTGGAGAGAGTTGAGATCCATTCTTGAAGGCGGCAACTTCGATGACATGGAGAGCTAGAGTGAAGAGAGATTAGAAGAGACAACGAGATGAATGATCCTTTTTGTTGCTTACGAATTTGGGAGAAATAAAAAAATAATTTGGAGGGAGACAAAGCAATGATAAAGGAACACAAATAATAGAAAGGAAATGATAAAAGTAGGTTTAAGAAAAAGAGAAAATGGCATAATTAAAAATTGAGCTATACAATGAGTCGTTTGGAAATAACTCACAAAAATAAAAAATTTGAAATCGAGTTAATAGTATCATTTGAAACATTCAGATGAGCATTTTTAGGTTAACAGACGTATCATTCATTATAAATGACTCATACAAAGGATTTATACATGATCCATGGTGGGTGCGAATGCTTTGCTTTGTGTTTCTACAAAGGTTGTCAACCCACAGTTCTACCCAAATCGACCCCGATCCAACGAGGAAAACAAGCACCACATTCTCGGGTCGGTCCGCAAAAAGGTTTCTAGTTTGGAGCTCACACGACATTGTTTTCTCGTTGATTTGTAATGGCGCTTTTCACTATATGTTAGATCATAGTACGAACTATTATTCTTAAGTATACTGTACTCCTGAAATATACCAGCCGTTACCATATATATTCAAACTAAATCGATAGAATAATTCACTATCAACTTACTTCCATTTCCACCGCCATGTAACCCCTCACCAGAGATTCACCGTGTTGAGCGTCTTCGAGCGACTCCCAGGAGGCGGCATATGAGGTTGTGTTCAATTGTCATGGATTCGGTCGGATCGGACGAGCTGATTGTGCTTGGTGCTCTTTGATTGGTTTGATTGCAAGAGAGGTTTCTGTGTTTTCTGGATCTAATTCAAGTGTTGCAGATCTTTTGGGTTGATCTTTTCTGTGTGTTTGTTCTTCCCTTGTTGTATTTCTTAAACACAAATTGTTCAATCTTTTCTGAACTTCTTTGTTGGCTTGTCTAGTAACCTATCTTTCAAAAAGCAATACGAGTAAATCTTTGTAAAAACTGGATCGGGACGATGGCTACCTTTGGCATCGTTTTTCTTTAAACCAGCTTTTCCCACAGAGTCAGAGTGACAGTCACGGGGACTGCGCCACCGCCACCCCACCACCGCCGGCCCCACCTCAGCAGCCACCAATCCCAAATTCAATTGGTCGGTCACCTCCCCATTCTGCCGTGCCCCGCTGTCGCACTATCCCTCCCGCTATCTTTTCAGATTGAGCCACTGTTCCTCTGTACAAACTGACAAATTTGTGGGGTTCTATACCTGTATAAAGAAAACGGGATACACGCCCTTACCTTTTACCGGTCAGCCAGCGACAACACTGCGCTCCCCCTATCCCCCTTTTTCTTCTCCCTGATAAGATCAATACTTTGATTAGTTTTCCTCCAAAATTTGACGATCCCGTAGAATTTGTCTCCTTTCCCTCCTCATCTTCTGTTCATTCTCGCCACTCCTCTTTGGGACCGTTGCTTGCTCTCTGCTTTCCCTTTTCTCTTGGGGGCTTAAAGTAAGAGGGGAGATAAAGGGCGAGGAAAGCGAGAGGCAAAAGAGACGAAACAGAGGCCTCGATTTGTGAATTGGGGTCATCAGCCGTTTGAGTTAATTGAATTGAACCCTTTTGTTACTTTCGATCTAATTCTCCACTGCTTTGATTCTCGGGACTTCTCGTCGGCCGTATACCTTTTTTGACTTTCTTTGTAGAAATACGAAAGGTGGGGCTCTCTTCCACAAGACCCTGTTTCCTACTTTCCTGGGTTTTTTTTTCTTCTGCTCCTCCACTTGTCCTCCGCTTTCCTTTTCGACGGGTGTGTGCTGTGATTAGTTTCTGGAGTTCTTGAGGGTTTTCATTTCCTTCCCCTGCTTTCTCTGTGTGTGAAGGTTTCTGAGGTGAGTTCTTTTGTGGGTTTCCTTCTGATGGACCTCAGCTGCTTACTTTGGCAAATTTTGTCGCTTTAGGTCACGAATTGTCGAGGAATTGGGGCCGGGTTTTCTGGGATTTTTTGTTTTTTTGCGAAGTTTCCTGCTTGCCCTGTCCGTTTTCCCTTGGATTCCGGCCTGAGCTGACAAAGTCGGCGACTTCATTGGAATCCGGTCACTGTATGAACCCGCTGACTAGGGGGCTTTGCTTTGCTTCTAGGTTTTTGGGTAACATGGGTGTCGGAGTTCGCCTTTACTTCTTGACTTTCCATGGGGGTGTTTGAGGGAAATTGCGAAATTTGTGCTCTTTTTCCCCTTGCTCTCGTTTCCCAGTTGTATGTCCACTGACTGGACTCTTTGATCTCTGGGTTCATTCATATATAGTGCAGTTGACTTGAAATGCTGAGTTTTGGGTTATGAACTTTTTCGACCTTGAGGGATTTGGTTGCTTTTGCCTTCTGTTCTTGACGCTTAGGTTATAAAGATTTCAGTTTGTCTTCATTTTATGTTCATTTGGTAAGTTTTTGTTCATAGCTTAAATTTGTTTCTGCCACTGTTGCAGCACAAATTAGGGCTTGGATTATGCATATTAAGCTCGTATTACTGTAGTAGTTCTTGTTCTTGCGTTGAGCGTCTCACAGTTGAACTGAGTCTGCAATAAAATAGATCGTTTCATCTGTGGAACTGTTTTAAGTGATGGGGTCCTAGAAAGTAGAAACTGTTGAAATGGTAATGGGAATTTCAACTCCCTCTTAGTTGTTCTAGCTTCTCTGTATTTAAATGGAACTTGCTTTGTGTGCTATGCCAGGTCTAAACTTCAGCCAGGTTGCTAATGGATTCTCCACAATCTGTTGTTTCACCATTCAAGAATGCTGTAACGGAGCCAGAGAAGCAGAAAACAACGGACCATTCTGTGAGGTGTGCAGTCAACAGCATAACCAAGGAGGAGGTTCCCAGGAAGGCAACTAATGGCCATCTGGAGGACAACTTCATTGGCAAGCTTGAGGTTTATGTACATCAGGCTAGGGACATTCATAACATATGCATCTACCACAAACAAGATGTTTATGCCAAGATTTGCCTCACCAGTGACCCTGAGAACACTGTCTCCACCAACACCATCAATGGTGGTGGCAGGAACCCGGTTTTCAATCAGAATCTGCAGATAAATGTCAAGACGGTCGACTGCTCCCTTAAGTGCGAGGTATTCATGATGAGTCGGGTGAGGAACTATCTCGAGGATCAGTTGCTGGGGTTTGCTTTGGTGCCTTTGTCTGAAGTTGTTATGAAGAATGGGAAGTTGGAGAAAGAGTTCTCCCTTTCATCCAATGATATGTTCCATTCACCTTCTGGATATGTTCAACTCTCACTCTCGTATACTGGAGCTACTCCGGAGGTAATGGCAATTCCTGCTGCTGATGGGGTGATGAGGGACTCTGAGGTTCAGGAATCACTCGAATGTGAGCTTGACAAGCTTGAATTCCCAGATCCAAATATTGCAAATGAAAACCAGATGATGGTTTCTGAGTATTATGGGACACCACGTACTGATCTGGATGAGTCTGAAACCTCTGAGAGCTTGGTCACTTGTGATGCTGCTGACAACCATACCAGTAATGGTACATGCGTTGCTAATGTAGTGGAAAGTTACTCTGCTGCAACAGTCGGTTCTGCCCTAGCTACTAATAAGCTCGATTCTCCTCCAAGCAGCGTGTCAGCAACAAATGGAGACGTCTCATCTCCTTCAAATGGTGTGAACTCGGACAACTCCAAAACTCAGTCCGAAGAACACAACTCGGTTAGCAAAGAGGACAAGGGCATAGATGCTGCAAATGGGGAAACTGATTCCTCAGCTGGAACTCCAAGAGAGGAAGTTACCAAGCCTGTTGTTACTCCGAACATGGAGCCGGAGCAGTGTGTTGTGCAGCAAGACATAGTTGACATGTATATGAAGAGCATGCAAGAATTCACTGACTCCTCAGCTGGAACTCCAAGAAAGGAAGTTACCAAGCCTGTTGTTTCTCTGAACATGGAGCCAGGGCAGGGTGTTGTGCAGCAAGACATAGTTGACATGTATATGAAGAGCATGCAACAATTCACCGAGTCATTGGCAAAGATGAAGCTTCCACTGGACATCGATAGCAGCGGACCAGCGAGTTCAGGAAGTTCAAACTCCGAGCAGCAGAAAACACCCTCATCAACTAAAGCAGGTTCCCGAGTGTTTTATGGGAGCAGGGCTTTCTTCTGAGCCCTCCCTTAGTCACTGCTAGTTTCACAGTTCGGGAGGAGAGAACACACAGGTGACAACAGTTTGACTTCCCTTCTATCCATGGAGAGACTAAGTATCTAATGCTGATGAACTGTAATAATTTTATGATGTAGTAGTGTGTGTTGTTTTTCTCCCTTTACCTTGGATTCATGGTGAGACTTGAGATGTTTAGAGATGACGGGGAAATCATGACTTGTATGCTGGTTTGGTTCTCAGCTTTGTTTCTATTCCTGCTGTGTTTCCAGTTTGTATACATGCAAAATTTCCCTTTCCAAACTGTCGTTTTTCTTCTTCTTCTTTCTGTTCTTTACTTCTATTTGTCTGTTCTGCCCATTTTCAAACCTTTGAATTATGGTGAAATCATAATTTCAAACTAATTATATGCTAATGATGGATGCAAATTATACTGATCAAATGGTTATGGATATGGCCCCACTGTCACATGGTGACTTGAGGTGCAGAAAAAAAGTCAGCAAAGCCAAATCATGTTCATGATTTTTGCTTTCAGCTGTCTTGCACAAATTTCCTCTTTTATGATCCGATTATTTACCCATCAACTGAAGAGACTGAATAAAAGTGGAAAGAGTTGGCTATCAATCCTCATTCATCAGCAACATATCTTTATTTTACAGAGTTGAGATGAGTGAGTGTCAGATTTTGAACATGTGGGGTGTTCTTTATCATGGAAGTGGAACAAGTATAAATAGTGATCATAAGAAGCAAAGGAATGGAATATTCAGATTTCAGATGGCTCTTCAATTACTTCATTAAATTTACACTTTCTTTGGGAAGAGGTGCAAATCTCTGAGAAGAGGTGCAAATGGGAGGAGGGTGCAAATGAGAAGAGTAAACACTGTTTCCAACACAATTACATCGGTTTGGATAATTTGTAACAGTCAAAAAGGTGCAAAACGAGAGTGTAAAGTTACTGTTTCGGCTTTACCCAAATTAGGGTGCAAGGGAATGAAGGAAGAGAGGGGGAGGGGGTGAGAAGGCAAATTATGGATTTATAATTATTATATAATTATAATTACATGATAATTAATATTGTCAATTTCTTTTATTGTAGTTACTATTAATGTAGACATTGTTAGGGGTTGACCATTTGACTCTGGAAGCAAATTTATCAATGTTCGTCTTGTCAAATAGAGATCTCTTGGTTGACTCAAATTTGCATTGAAAATTAGAGATGAGAAGTGTTTGTGGAACGTATTTGACTAAGTTTGACCATATTCAATTTAAAGTTAAATTAGAAATGAGAACCTTGTAGGATGACCAGTTACGAGTTGGGCTTTGAGCTTCGAGGTCGCTCGACCAATAATTATTACAGTTACTATAATTAATTATTATTCAAGAACTATTATATAATAATTATTTTTATTAAATCAAATAAATTAATATTAATTATTATATAATTAATTTTTATTATTATTTTGTGATAACATTTTGTAAATTTGATAAATCTATTTTATAATAATATAATACTTACTTTTAACTCTATTTGCACCCTCTTACTTTTTCATCCAAACAACAATTTACCACTACACTTACATCCTCCACCAATTTGCACCCCCCTTCAGCAATTTACCCCCTCAACTTGCACCCCCTCGGATTTGCACTCCCTTTGTTGCCAAACATAGTGTTAGTGATCATATGACTCCTACAAACCCATTCTGAGGAGGGTTTGCTTCTGTTGAAGGTATCCGCCATCGTTTCCTGGAGCTGTTGCAAGGCACAAAACATGAACTCAGCAGGCAATCGGTAGCGGAGGTGCTATTATCGGCCGATAAGGATGGGCAATGGGCGGGTTGAGTAGGTTTTGGTCTCAAATTGACTCACCCGCTTACTAGCGAATTGAAATAATTGTGACCCGCAATCCACCCACATACCTTTGCGACTTGGGTTGGGTGGGTGGCAGTTGAGTGCGGTTGGGTCGTGGGTCAACCCGTAAAAACAATTCTCCAACTTGCTATTAAGAAAGTTGCCTAACATTTATAATAAGTTCATAACAAATTAGTAAGGTTGTATCAATAATATGTGATTTTGATACAATTAATAATTTATAGTTTGCATCCTAATATTTAATTGATATTAACAATAATTTGCATACCAATATCCAATACCTAATAGATATTGCATAACAAATCAATAATAGTAGTCAAAACTATTCTTTATTCTCCACCTTTTGAAGTATATGGTCAGACTGTAGTGCAGTCCAAAAATATGATGAATATTCTATACTATAAGAAACAACATTTTTCATGTAAAAATATGATGCGGGTCATACGGGTGACCCGCAATCTACCCACCTACCCACCCACATAAGTGCGAGTGGAAATTTAATCAATCCGCAATCCACCCACATCAATCACCCATTGAATGCGAGTCGGATTATTTACGAATGGAGCGATATCAATCCGCGAATTAACCACCCCACATTCCCACCCTTATCGGCCGCTTTGAAGCCTAATATCATCATACAAAACAATGCTTCAGTATCGAGCCCACTATCACGAGCTTTTGATTGGAAAAAAAAGGCTACTTTCAGCCCATTTCTGATTCCGACGGGCTTCGACTTTCTGAAGCCCAAATGCCCAGCAACTGGAAGAAGGATACCGAAACGGCGTGTCGTTTTGGGTTGGCGAAAGCATTATTCTCCATTCTCCAAACGATCGCTAGTTCCGTCCCTCTGCCGTCGTTGTCCTGTCAATTTAACGGTGAATCCGGTCACCCGCCAATAACCGATATTAAGAGATTCTTTCGCCGATTCCCTTCCTCGGCGGTGGTTATAGGGTTTACGGATTCCGATCAATTTTTCCCGGTTGAAGATCGATGGCGATTGCTTTGGCGAATACGGATCAAATCCCGACGCTGAAGACGATCGAAGCCGCTCTGAAGTTGACCGACGCGAAGAAGGAGAACCTGAAGAAGGCGTATGATGAACTCCAACGCCATTCTTCATCCGCGGCGTTCTCACTCTCGTGGTCCGATCTCGACTCCCACTTTTCCTCCCACCAGGCTGACCTCACTCGCCGCTTCAGCCTCGTACAATCCCACGGCCTTGCTCTTCCTCGCCAAGGAGTCGGCCCTTCTTCCTCGGACTCCGGCCAGCAGAACGGTGGTCCGATTGAGGCCGAGGCGGGGAGAGACCTCGTGGCCAATGGTGTAGAGGAGGAGAAAGCTGGGGTTGACTCTGACCCCGGCTCTGCAATGCGGGTCTCTCCGGAAGTGGGAGGACCCAGTCCAGCTAGAGCTGAGTTGGTACTCTTTTGCGAGAAGCTGGATGGGAAAGGGTTGAGAGACTACATTAGCGACCATGCCAAGGAGCGAATTGAGATTCGGGCTGAACTTGCAAGTGCAATTCATGTGAGCAGTGACCCAGGTTCTATGGTTTTGAATGCAATGGAGGGCTTCTATCCAGGGAATTCGGCCTCAAAAGGAGATAAAGACCCGGAATTGTATCGTCTAAGGAAGAGTTGTTTGGATTTGCTAGATGTGTTGGTTGATATCAAGCCAAATGTTAGCGATGAGGTGAGGGAGAGTGCTAAACAGTTGGCATTGGAGTGGAAGGGCAAAGTGAGTTTGAGTGGGGAGAGCCCTTCTGAGTCGTTGGCGTTCTTGAGTTTGTTGGCAGTGTATGGATTGCGGGATCAGTTTGATGTTGGTGAGCTTGTGGTTTACTTTGTTGTCATTGCGAGGTTTAAGCAAGCAATTACTCTGTGCCGAGATATTGGTCTGGGAGATAAGACTGCAGGTAATGCTTGGTCTGTGCTGATGTGAAATCTCTTTTCAATGGCTTTGATTCGGTCTTATGTAGCTGTGAATTTATGTTGTGTTTTAAACGTGTTGCTAGGTTCGTCTACTGTATTTGAATTCGTAAGGCTGATGATTAGATTGTGAGAAAGTGAACTAGTTCCTCTACCGTGATCCTAATATAAACACAGCGTATAAGCCTGTGAACTTCAAGCACAATGATTAGGCTTTTCGGTGCGAGAGGAGTGTCCTATGAGATCTTGTTGTTTAGCCTCTTCCTATAACCTAAGTTATTGGAACAAATTTGTCCGAAGATTGAGACAGGTTGCTGGTTATGATGCTTCCGGCCAGGGTTTTCAAATGCTTTAGCTTTTCTTTGCTGTTTGAAATCTTCTATTTGTGACAATATATGGAATCAAGACATAAGAGTATGCGTGGACACTGTCATAGTAAAGTGAGAATTTTGTGAAGTTTAAGTGTAGATAACGTTGATGGTGCCTCTTAGATAACATGAATTACTTCTGAAGGTGAAATGAGCCCCTGGTTTGAAGATTGTAAAGTCATCTGATGGGTTTAGCATTTGGACCTAAAATGGAGCTCCTTGGTAGAGAAGGAAGAAGTGGATGTATTTTGAAGTTCAAGAGTGAACTGATTTAGTGAAGAGATCATAAGTAGAAAGAAAGTCAGGATGTAGAAAGTTGGTTTATATCTGGCAGTAGACCTATAGCCTGGGCAGTGGGCACAATCTTGGGCCAGAAACTGCCGTGCCAAATGAGCAACTCCTTGGGTTACTCATGCTTCCCCTAGATGGTGCTGAACTGCTGTATTCAAACTTAAGGACAGTCATTGATGATAACTTATATTTGGTGTTCTCCTCAATATGTCCCTCTCTTTCTTGATTGTTTTCCTTTCTTGCTGTCTATGTGTAATTGACCTGTACACCCCAGGTAAAGAACCATATGGATGGTTGTTCATTTTCTTCCATTTTGCAGTTCTTGTGCAGAAACTTATAGATGGTGGCAAACAGCCTCTGGCTGTCAAATTTGTTTTTGAATTTGGATTGACTGACAAGTTTGAAGCAGTGCCGCTGTTGAAAGCATATCTAACGGAATGCAGAAATTCCACTAACCAAGCTTGCAAGGATGGAAAGATTCCCATCAAGACACAGGTGTCCCTGAAGACCCCTTTAAACTCGCATCCATTGTTAGTTGTTAGTTTATTAAAATAATTTGATATATCTTTCTCACCTATCATGCAGAATGAGGCCAAATCCAAGGAAGTTAGTGCACTGAAGTCGGTACTTCAAGTCATCGATGAGCACAAGCTTCAATCTGAGTATCCACGAACGGAAATTGAAAAGCGTATGGAGACTTTGCAAAAGCAGAAGACTGATGGCAAACAGGCTACACCATCTTCTGCCACGAAGCCTCAACAGCAGCAGCAGCAACAACAACAGGCAAAGAAGAAGAAGCAAGTGCAAGCGAAATACCAGCCCCAAGCAAAGAAGCAGCAACACCATCAGCAGCATTACGGAAATAAGCGCTTGAGAACAAATGGACCGGCACTTCCAATGGTTGCTTCTGGATCAACAGTCCAGCGTCCATTTCACCAACCTCATTTGCAGCCAACAGGTTTGTATCATGCAGCTGGGGCCTATGGGATGGTGAATGCCTCTCCTCCCATTCCCCGTTATGGGGGCTCATATGCTGGACAGTATGGTTTCGCAGGAGCTGGAGTGGGCTTACCTGGGAACCCAAACCCTGCTGCTGCTGCTGCTGTGGCAGCACAGCAATACCCTTCTGAGTCTCAAATGGCGCCAGGGTTTTATAATGGGGGGCAAGCTGCTGCTGGTTATTATGATGGATATGGTTATCCACCTCAGCATCATCAATCCTACTACCCTCAATAGATATTTTAGCTACTGACCATCTGAGTTAATACAACTTTTGGTGGTAGTATTTGTTTTGTCTGACATACCATGCTGATCACCAGAAAAGCATTTGCTTTTCTGGTTACCATGCATGCACTACAATTATCTTGGGTCAGCAGATATTGGCATTGTTCAATATCTCTCTGTTTGCTTATGAACCAAAACCCAGCACTTTGGCTAGGTTTATTATTTAAGCAAGATCTAGATCCCTGAACTGCTTAAAGGTTCAATTTCCTGCCAGTAGCTGAATTGAGAGTAGCCCAATTTGGTTTCTTTGTTGGTTTAGGTTTTGCTTATGATATCCAGCAGATGACCATTTACTAGCTTAAACCAATATGTCTGTCTGCGGCAATGGCATATGCTTCCCCAATAACCCCTCCTACCCCACATTCAAACTCCATGAATGCAACAGTTTGCCCTTGCTCTGTATGTAGGATTAAATAGTTGTTTTTATCTTCGTCCACTTCTGTTTCTGCCGCTGCTGTTTTTTTCTTTCACATTGGTCTTGCTTTTGTTTTTACTGCCTCTGCACATTTTCGTTCTGAGACTTTTTTTCTTCTTTTTCTTTCCGCATTTGGCTTTCTCTTCTTCCTTTTGTCCTTTCCTTATTTTCTGGATTGCTTTCCATTTTTCTGTTGAGTTGCTGTCAGCTCCATCATTGTGGATTTTTAGCTGCACCTCATGAAAAAAGCCCCAATCTTTGTTCTGCCCCACACATACCCACTTGATAGCTGCCTTATGGGGTCTTCTTTCTTTATTGTTCTAGCTCAGAAAACACAAGTTGTGCATACTATAACTGGGAATCAAAAGTATAATGTAAAAGGAAAGCTGTCCTCTTGTTATCATTATGATCCAATTTGGTAGTTTCCCGTTGGTATCAAGCACATGCAAGGTTCATTTCATTTCAATACAATACCCCTCACCCCATCTATGTCGGTGAGGGTTTTGTTTTTGTTCCCTTTTGATTTTCGAAGGGTTAAGCTGTTCTGTGATCAGCAGCAGTAGAGTCAATCTGAAGCTCCTCGATGATATTCTCTGATGGAAAATGCCATCTGCAATCGAATCGAGATCGAACCCTTTTTTCCTTCAATTTGATCTCATTAGATAGAGAGCTGTTCCAATGGAGTTGGGATGTCAATCCAACGTCTCCTCAGAAGTTTGTAAAAGGGAGATTAGACCTTCCCCCATATGAACGGAGCCTCTGTATCTAATTTGTGTGCATGTCCACTTGTGATTTGGATTGGTGTTTCTTGGTAGATAGAAGAGAATGGGATGTCAGTCCAACTGATGACAACTGACTGGCGGCTAACAAGTTCTTGAGCTTGAAGATAAGCTTTTTCTGGACACAAATATCTGAGTGGAGTTAATTGATGTGGATAGACTTCTCGCCCTAAGTAGGGCTGGTAATTTGTTAGGTGGTTATTGGGTTAACCGTTAATTGTTGGTTACCGGTTACATTGGTATCCGTTAAAGGATAGAAGCTGCTACCGATGAATAGGTTAACAGATAACTGCTATTTGATCCGGTCAACTGCTAGCACGAATTTCATGCCTTATAATTTCGTTTGTTATTTCTTCTAATTTATTTATGATAACAATGTCAATCGGTTAGCGGTTAATTGTATAGTCTAGCGGGTCAGCTAATCGTATAGACTTTCTGATTAGTAGTTTACCGCTAATGGATCTGACTATCGGCTCTGTCGCTAAGTGGCGAATAGTGAAGAAGGATAAATGAGTAAATAGGGGTGTCCATTCGAGTTTGTTTTTAACCGAAACCGAACCCGATTCGATACATTGTTGGGTTTTCGGGTTTGGGTCTAAGTTTTTTTGGTTTTGGGTTTGGTTTTGATTATCGGGTTTTCAGGTTTCGGTGGAAAACCCTCTAGGGACTAGGAATAGCAATTGGCCCATATTCTTAGGTTTGGTTTTTTGGGTTTCGGTTTTGCTTTAACCAAACCCAAACCCGATAAGGAATTTTATCGGTTTTCAATGATTTCAAGTTTGGTGTTTTTCGGGTTTTATCGGATTTTGGTTTGGGTAACGAACCCGACCCGAACGGACACCCATATGAGTAACCTGTCAACTTTTCCCTCTTTTGTTCGTTTGTCAAGTTGGCTACAAGTGAAAGAATGCCATATTTTTTTTATATTCTTTTGTCAAAGGTTGGTTTTGCTCATTGCTACTACATGGATTATTGAATTGCCGGTTCCCTGTCTTGTACTTGTGTTCTTTCCTTCTTCATCGACTAATTAATTGAAACATTTCTCCCAAGTATATTAGGTATGAAGTTCACGTTACTAAATGCGTCGACTATACATTTCCCGGCAACATGTGGGGAATAGGGAATCACTTGGGCGAGAAGCACCGTTAGCAATTGCGTATCACATAGGTTGCATACTGGCTTGAATTGGATCGAAACGATAATGTTTAAACGGATCGTACTAATGTTGGATAAAATCTAATCAGATGTACTCGCAATTTCAATCAAACCTCTCATCGTCGTTCTGCCGTACTTTTTCCTTTGTTGGTGCATATCAGCATAGTAGAGGAGAAGAACATGTCCCTTTTGGAAAACAGACTTCGATCTCTCATAAACCACTCAGAGGGCCAAAGGTGTGTTTACCTTTACCCGGCGATCCGACCGGAGTCTAAATCGGTAGATGATTTTTAGCAGTATGAAATGATATTCGGTATTAAAAATTAAATTTTTTAATCTTGGTCATCTATAGACAATAATGATTTATTGTTATCCATAATTTTGAGTATATCATAGAATGACTAATAAGTAAATTAATTTTTTTTTGTCGTTTGTCCCAATTTAACCATATTCAAAACCCCTGACCATTTACGGTTGAAAATGAATCCTCATTCTACTTTGAAGAATATAGATATTAATTTTGATAAAGAAGTTTTTTTCTTCAATTTTTATTAGGGCGGGGAAAATAGACCAGACCGTTAGAAAAACCGTGGTCCAAACCGTACCGCACAGTTTGGTCCGGACCGTAGACCGTGAAGTATGGTCTGGTCTGGTCCATGGTCTGTATTATTTTATGATTTGATCTCTTGGTCTGGTCTGGTCTAGACCGCGGTTTACCGGACCAAACCGTAGACCCAACTGACTTGTCAATCCGTGTTAACAATCCATTCGACCACTCTCCAAACTCCCACAACGACACCCAAGTCTCAACCTTAATTTTGTGAATCTCTTCCCTCCTTCATTCACAACCACATTTAACCACAGAGTAGAGATAATCGTGTCTCCATGTGACATTATGTTAATGTTTATGACATTATGGTGCAAGCTGAGATGCTTTTACTTTGTATCTTTGTTATGTACTAAGATTTAGAGTATCAAAATTATTCATGCATGTTAGGATTAATGTTTTAAGGCAAATAACAATTATTTTTCTTGGTTATTGGTTCAATTTTTTGTGTGGTTGACTAAACAAATTATTCATTTTTCGTTGAGTGTGGTCTATCTGGACCAGACCAGACCGAACCAGACCGCACAGGCGTGGTCTGGACCAGACCGTATAGTCTGTGGTCTGATCTGTGGTCTATACTTTAGCCTCTCGGTCTGGACCATAGACCGTATATATGGTCTGGTCTGGACCAGACCGCACCGTTTCCCAGCCCTAATTTTTATAAGTGATTTAGATAGAAAGTGACATATGCCTTGTATAACTCATGTTCTAAAACGACCCCTAGACATAAAAATAAAAATAAAAATGGTGGGGTGCATATTCAATTTATTTTTTTAAAGACTATATCCCTATTACTTTCTACAAATATAATTAACCCAAAATTTCAAATAAAATTATTACCTAACCCAATATTGATGTAAAAAACTACGAGCAAAGTCCCGTTTGGTAACTCTTGGGAGAGGTATTACTTGAAATTGAAACCACAAGCAATGATTGTGTTTACTATTGTGAAAAAATTAAGATCGTTTACCATTGAGTAAATGATTTTGTTTATGAATTGCGCACTTTCTAAAAAATACAAATGAATAAATTACGTTGGATAATTGATTTCTTTTTAGCAATCGAGTGCAGTCGGGTTCTTCTTTTGTTTCGTTTCCCACTTCAGTCCAACGGAAGACAACGAAAACAGTAAAAAAACGTAGAGAAAATAAAATAAAATAAAAAAATAAAAGGAAAGACTGCAGAAGGCAAAAAAGAAAATTGGTTAAAAGGGAGAGCAGAAATTCCAGATCCAAAACTGTAAACCAAAAGTCAACACTCCTTCCTTCCTTCTTCCTTCTTCAGCTTTCATTTTCCTTCCAATTCACTTCTCTCCTCCGCCCACCGCCGCCGCGGCCCAGCTTCACCTCTTTTCCGCCGGCGCCTTCTCTCTCACTCCATCTCCTTATTAATTTTTAATATTCTAAAAACCCCAATTGAAATTGTGATTATTTAAATCCCAGAAAACCCACCACGGCAAACCACCACCACCACCACCACCGTCACGTTGTTTTGGGTTCTTTTTCGAACGAACGCTCTCTCAGCTGCTCTTTCCTTCTTCCTCTACTTTACCATTCTACCCTTCTTTCTCTCCAATCCAATTTCTTCTCCCTCCCTTCCTCCTTGCCCTTTCCCCCTTTCCCTTGCCTTCTTCTTCCCCTCCTCTTGCTTTCTCTGCTCCAATGGAGTCTACTTCTGCTGCTGCTGAGGCTGCTGAGGCTGCTGATACTAATGACTTCCGCCTTCCGGCTCCCCCGGCTTCTGCTTGCGATTCGGCCGATCAGCGGAGGGAGAATGGTGCAGATTCTGGTGGTGGCGGCGGCGGTTGCGGAGGTGGAGGAGGGGCTAGGTATAAGCTCATGTCGCCGGCGAAGCTCCCGATCTCCAGGTCTCCTTACATCACCATCCCTCCTGGGCTTAGTCCGACTTCGTTTCTCGAGTCACCGGTCCTGCTCTCCAATGTCAAGGTTCGTTTTGCTGCTCCCTCGATTTGGATCGAGCGAGCTCCTTTTTTTTTTCCTTCTATTTTGTTGCTGCTCTTTTTTGCTGGATTTTCCACTCTGTGATGGCTGTTTAGCAAATTGTGTTTGGTTGATTGGAATGCTGGACTGGGGGCAAGCTATAGTTCTCTCCTTTTTTTTCCTTCTCCTGGTTGAAAGTTTTCAGCTTGACGAAATGAAAATGACCTCTCATGAGGAAGCTTGAGATCTGTTTGGGTTGGGGGAGTTAGTGGACAGAGTGAGAGAGGAAAGTGGGATGGATTAAACTACTGGGAAGAGAATACAGTTCTAAATCCAGCCAAACACTGTGTCTCTCAGAAAAGTATGTGTAAAGCTTAAAGGATTCTCCACTCTGGTGGGTTGATTCTGCAGCTATGAGAAAGAACGGTACATCATCGTTCGTTGGGCAGCTGGTTCATGGAGAGGGGGATAATGCGGAACCATAAAGTTCTGAAGGGGAAGTCTTTTGGCAGTGTAGTTTTCTCAAGTTAGGGAGGGATTCGTACGGCTCTGGATTGAAAGTTAACGGAAGTGGGTGAATTGAAGCCATTAAAGGTTTTTGAGCGGAAAAAAATAAGGAAGGAGATGCTCTGGAGATGCTCTTTGTTTCTCCCTGAAATGAATGCAAGACACTGGGATTCCAAAATTCTCGTTACTATATTTGTCTTTTTTCTCTATCTTCTTGCTTGTAATGGGTTATGGACTTATGGTTTTACAAAATTAGTGACTCTCCCATGATGGGAATGCAAGTTCTCGAGTGAGATTCGGATGCTGGATGATAGTTATAATAAAGGCCTGAACTTGGTGCTTCTTTGATCAAGATTCTAGTTCTTAGCATTCGTTTTGGAGAATATGACTTTTCACAGGACGAGCTTTTCTCTTCTTTTCTATTTTTTTCATTAGTTGCCCAGTGTTGTGTTTTCACATAGTGAATCTGCCCTTTAGCTGGTGCTTTGTTCTATAGTTAAGTGGTGTCATTGGTCTGTCAAACTGATGTCTTTCCGGTATGAGCATGAAGAATATGGCATAAGTCCTACGGTGGTGAGATTTGTGCCTTCCTCAAATACAAAAAAGCAAGGATACTATATATGATATGGGGTCAAGACTGTGAGAAGAAGCTGATTTTGTTTATAATGAGAACAAAATATGTTTAGAAATTGGCCAGATGCTAAGAATTGAAGCTGTTCTTGGGGGGTTTCTCCACTTGGGTGAAGGAATCTTTGTTGATTTGGAAGAATGAAGTCCATTGTGCTGACTTAATTTGTCGAAGTAAAGTCATACTAATTCCGATATTATTCGTAGAGGTTCCTCATGTTAGTGCTAGCATATTTTGAAATATTGGTAGTGACTGGTGAGAATCGGATGATGTCACGTGATTAGATGTGCAAGTGCAATTCCTTTTCTTTTTAGACTTTAGTGATGCTGATAAGTAAGCAGAAGTTATGCAGATGCTGCTTCTGTGGATACATGGCACTTAGTGCAACTATACCTGTCTGATTTACTGAGCTATTAATTGGAGGTTTCTCGAGTGCAAAAATTATTCTAGTTGCTTGCCTCTTATTTCTGTACTGCTCATGTTTAGTCAATTTGCAGCAGCTTTATCATTCAAAATTTCTATACATGTCAACTCTTAATGGTTGAATGGTTTAAATAAGAGAATTCCTTCTGCAGGCTGAGCCTTCCCCGACTACAGGATCTTTCATCAAGCCTCAAACAGTGCATGGCTCTTTTTTATCGAACTCCTACTCAGCAACTGCAGTTTCATCTGACACCTTTGGGGAAAGAGCCTCCAGCTTCTTTGAGTTCAGGCCTCCTTCTATATCAAATATGGTATGCTCTAATCATATGTCTACTAGACTTCCACATTTGATTTTTCTTGAACTGCTTGGTGACTGTAAGGAGTCGATAATTTGAGTCAACTCAAGTTTGCTCCAACTTTGGGTGTCAAGATATGAATATGGAAATAGAAGCGCAAGCATGAACCTTAGAAAGTGCAGCAGAATGAAATTGACTCAAACAGATACAAACAAATTAAACTGAACAAAGAGATTTTGTGTTGCTATGTTATGTGATCCTTATCTGCATATTTACTAATTTCATTTTTAACCATTCAGCTGTTTGTGAATCATACGATCTATTTTCTGCTGCTGCTTTCTCCTACCAAACATAGGCAGTCAATTAATCAGTTCAATGTTAGCCAGTCTGAAGCAGTGATACAAAAGGTTAAGGAATAGGATGCCATCCAAAAGTTAACCAATGTGATGTCCCGGAGTATTACAATCGCCTGCCCAAAATGTTACTATGATTGTACTGAATCATCCACTAAAGTTTCATCATACTTCGCTTGCTGTATTTCATCAGGATGCATCACGGAAAGAATAGTTGACGAACTGTTTCTTGTTTGACTACCCTTCTGAACGTTGTGCTATGATTCTTTCTTCTTGATAAAGGATTTGTATTCTTTTACTTTTCCATTTGTGGCTTGGAACTTGGAAGTTTTAACTTTCCTAATGTACAAAATTTGCTCAAGACTTCTGCAGATATGATCAATAAGAGGAGAGAACAATATGTACAAGTCCAAGGCAGTTCTCAGTCTCAAATCCAATCATTTTCATCATTGGCTTCACCTAAAGCGGAGATGGTAGCCTCCTCCAATGAGTTGAGTCTCCATATGGCAACTTCTGGGACTACTGCAACTACTGAAGCTGAAGCTAATGAACAAAACCAGACAGGAAACTCGAGCTGTGGGCCCCAGGTCTCGCAATCTGATCTTAAAGGAGGAACCACAAACTCAACTACATCAGAGGATGGATATAACTGGCGCAAATATGGACAGAAGCTTGTCAAGGGAAGTGAATTTCCCCGTAGCTATTACAAGTGCACACATCCTAACTGTGAAGTGAAGAAGTTATTTGAGCGCTCTCATGATGGGCAAATAACAGAGATTATTTATAAAGGCACACATGACCATCCTAAACCTCAACCTAGTCGTCGATACGCTGCTGGAGCTCTTTTGACTGCGCAAGAAGATAGATCTGATAAAATACTGTCTGGGAGGGATGGTAAGGGCAGACTTTCAAATCTCATTTTCTAGCTGCTGCCATTTTTCTTGCTCTTAAAGATCTTCTCATTAGCTTCTGTTCTGTATGGAATTTCAATCTTCATGTAGAAAAATTGTCTGGTGCTTATAGTCAAGCGTCCAACACCATGGAACCAAATGGTTCTGAAATGTCCCCTGTTACAGCAACTGATGAAAATGCAGAAGGTACTGAAGATGACGATGATCCCCTTTCAAAGCGAAGGTGTGTCTTTTGTTCTGTTCTTGGAGGAATATTTACTAATCAATTTACCTTCTGACATTTTTTAATCAAAGTTTACCATTTAATTATGGGTGTTGTTCATGAATCAGGAAAATGGATACTGGGAGTTTTGATGTCACTCCAGTGGTTAAGCCTATCCGTGAACCACGTGTTGTTGTTCAAACTCTTAGTGAGGTTGATATACTTGATGATGGGTACAGGTGGCGCAAATATGGGCAGAAAGTAGTGAGAGGAAATCCTAATCCGAGGTACTACTTATTTTTGTTCTTATTCTGGGCAATAGTTTAACGTTGATGACAGACCTTCTGCTTATTGATTGGGAACCCAAAAACTTATCTGAAGATTCTTCCTTTTTCGATTATGTTTTGCAAGAGATGGCATTGTGCCATGCATGTAAGAAATGCTGCAGCAATGTTGCAGTAGCATTCGTTTGGATAGAGGGAATGCAATTAAGTTCAGTTGCCAAGGAACTAGGAACTGATTCTCATGCCCTTTCTTCTTTTCCTTGTACTTAAAGCAGAAACTTTCTTTCTCCTATACCTTATAGCCAACAAATAAAGTCTAAGTTTAGTTAGTCCGGGGAATCAACTAATCCATAATGTTTTGCCTTGGTTTTCCCGAAATAAGGTATTAGTGATTGTGTTTAACAGATGCTAGATCAGTTGCTTTAAGTAGAGCTACCGTAGCTTTTAGTGGAAGAACACCAATATTAATGAGTGTGTTTGTTTGCACTTCTTCTTAAATTTGGGAACTATCTGGTATCCTTTTGAATAAAAGTAGATTTGTCTTATCTTTCCTGGATGAGGCTTTTTATCAGTGGGGGTTCCTTTCACCTCAATTATGCTAGGCACATGGCTCTCTTGTTTCATCATTCAATTGAAGGCTTTGTCAGTGATTTGAAACTTCCTTGTCTTAATGATTGAAGTTTCCCCAAATTCATTATTACATGGAAGATTTTTGTATGAAGTGTTTCCCTTAGTTTCTTTGGTTTCTGTTTGAACATGGGATGCAAATATGTGAGAGTTTCTTATTGTTTTGGCCCATTATTCAGGAGCTACTACAAGTGCACAAATGTGGGATGCCCGGTGAGAAAGCATGTAGAGAGGGCATCACATGATCCGAAAGCAGTCATAACTACTTACGAAGGGAAACACAACCATGATGTACCCGCAGCTAAGAATAGCAGTAGTCACGACACAGCAGCAGCAGCAGCTGCTGCTGCTATGAGCAGTAGTGGTCCATTGAGGATAATAAGATCAGATGAAAGCGACACAATCAGCCTTGATCTCGGAGTTGGGATGGGTTCTTCTGCAGCCGCTGAGAATAGGTCCACCGACCACCACCATCACCACCAACAGCCTTTCCACTCTGAACATGGGCAGCAAAGCAGTGGGCCCAGTTTCAGCAAAGCTGCAAATTACTATGGTGGCATGAACCAGTATGCATCAACTAGACAAACTCCTACGGAGGTTCACAGCTCATCTTACCCCTACCCACCGAATATCGGAAGATTACTTACCGGTCCTTAGAATCTGTTCCCAATGAAGCCAGCACGATAAAATGACTTTCCCTCCGGCTGGTGAAATCGAAGCAGCTGGTCATGAATCCCGAATTGTAGGATTTCCCTAGTTGTCTAAACCATGCTGGTCCGGTAAGCACTGTTATCACAGAGCTGTTCATCATTAGAGCTTCTGCTTGTCATCAACTGTTCTTTCTATTAGCTTTCCTGGGTAGGAGCTCACATAGCTTCTGAAGTGAAAGCTTACGGAAGTACAACTGGTACAAGGGTCGATCGGCTTTTTCCTTAAGAGTCGGGGAATCTGCTGGTGGCTTGGAAGGAACTGACTCAAAACACAGCTCAGCACTCGATGTGGGATGATTAGTGATTTGGTTGACAAAGTTGTAATGTAAGCAGCGCTGTATGTATATGGCCTTTTTATTGTTGTGATGTATACATACACAATACTTCATAGTTTACTCAATGGGAAATGACCAGTCAGAGTTCCTCAATAGTGTCTTTAATTTATTACATTACCACACAACAGGGAAAAGGATGGTAGTGCTCCATCTCTTAAACTCTACGCTGTGTCTAAAGCTAATTGCGACTTCCAGCTTCTACTTAACTTCTGTTCTCTTTTGTGATCAAACTCTTAATCATTGAAACCCACTTTCTTTGTTGAGTTAGGTGGTGGCGATCGGGAAATGTTTTGTTTCTCTCCCGACCCGACAGATGTTTTCTTTGTTGGGGTATGATTGCTGGTGCTGAACTGCAGATATGGTACTATGTACATAACAAAAATGTCAGAGACGAATTTGACTTCAGATGGAGATAACATGCACCAATTGGATGACATTCATATACACAATTATCACTAATCAATCTAACTCTTCATTAACCAAAACTGCCTTTAAAGTTCGAAGTTCAAACTCATTGGATCATTGGATAACACCAAAAAAAATGAACGAAGCCAATTTGAGCCATAGGAACTCAAGAGATATCTATGGAGAAGTGGGGTTGGGAATGAGGTTCTCAGATTCTTCGGCACCATCATGCCATGCTGCAATCAACAATACTACTCCTCTGCTGCTGCTACTGAAGTCAGTGAGCTCTGCAGAAACAAGAACTGCGGAATCTGCAGAGCGATTCCGTGAAATTTCAATATGGAACGTCTAATTGACTCTGCACAAGGAGTGATGAACTGAATGATGAGCATTGTCCGGTCTATCGAAAGTGGTGGTGGGAGCTGATGAAGAGAGAGCTGTGGTACTGTGCAGGGAAATTGCAGGGGCTACTAATACAGATGTTAGTAAAGTTAATAATAATAATGGAAGAATTATTCACAAGAGTGATCCAAACTCAAACTTGGAATCACCAAATCCTGGTGCAGTACTCCCCTGCTTTGTCATAGTATTCACATGACACTCTTAGAGATTGCATCCACAAGATGATTCACAGTTTCGATGATAAACCAAATCTCATCAACCAACAAGTAACTGCAGTTTGGGCAAAAAGTAATCATGATGAAATTCCAAATGAAGTTTGGAACAGAAAGTAAAAGCAAAGAGACATGACAGTTGGGAGAATATTTCCAGAGAGATGGGGATGTTCTTTTACTGGATAATTATACTGCAAACAGAAAGGCTACTATATTATGAGCTACAAGCAAAGATTAGTTCTGAAGCGCCCTCAGACAAACATTTTCTAGTTTGTTTCATCACCTCAAAGAGTTCCCGTCTAAACATTATCAACAACATTAGCACTAGTTCTCATTGTTAGGTATTATTTATCAATCACCTCCATGCACAAGAAGAAACCAAGTGGCGGTCCATCCAGCCAAGATAAAGAGCTCCATCTTTCTCCTCTAGCGTATACTTGCCGGAGTATTCTCCCAGCAAAGCTTTGATTGTGCCATTCACATGACTACTAAGAGGATATGGTTTAAACCCAGCCATTGTGAACCGTGATCTCCATTTCCCAAGAAGCTCATGGCGTTCAACCCTTTCAGCTCCCTCACAAGCTATGATGTTAACCACCTCCCTAGCCAGGCAATGCTGCTCAACATTAATCCTCTCCTTGTGCTCCCTTGGCAGAGCTACATCAATCGACTCAAATATAGCCGAGTAGTAGTTTAGAGTCTCCACGAACCGGGCAAAAAATGGTGCAGTGTTGGTGTTCGATTCCTGCTCAACAAGAGTTACCACCTTAGGAGACAACCCTTTAACCATCCTCAGCAATCTGTCGCGATGATTTTGTGTCCCCACGCTTTCATCCGGCATGTGGTGAAGCGTCAATGCAAAGTTGACAGCAATTGCTTCGCCCGGTTGAATCTTGAGATTCTCGACTTGAATCTCAGAAGATGGTACTCCAGAAACAGCATTGAACTCGAATGGCACTTCATATTCCTGTGCAAGCATCGTCAGCCTTTTTCCAACTATATTGAGCCCCCCTCCTCGAGCATAAGCAGATGTTGAATCATCAATCCCAGTAATTCGAATGTGTGGAGGCCCACCAGGTTGTGCAGCAAGAGCCTTGATTAAGGTGATCCACTGTGTGCCCTGTGAAATTTGGAAATCAATGATGTGGATTCGCTTTTCCTCCTTGATTGCCTCGGCTATCGCTCCATTTGCTGACATGTACCCAAACTTGAAGTATGGGCATATCTCGTAGAGCAGGTGCATGTATGAGAGAAGCTCCATGCTGGCAGGTAGAACAGGTTCCTTGCATCTCAAGGCTTTATAGATGGCACTTCCAGAGGATGCCAACCTTGCAACAAGACCTTCCACAGCATACGCCCCCAAGCGTTGAATTGGCTCACCAGAAACCGAGACCATTGCACGCAGCTCACCAATCAACCAGTCCACTGTGAACATATCGCCATCTTCAAGAAACCGAGCACAAACGCATAGGCCTTCCCTTAGATCTCCTCTAGATATTACGTCACCCAGAAACTTCCACTTGTCTGTCTCAGTTGAGGTTTGGTTGTTGTCTCCAGCTCGCATTATGTCATTATTGAATGAGTTAGGAACATCTAAATCGGGGCCCAGCATAGCGGTTTCTAGTTCCCTTAACTTGTGGGTGACATAAGACTCACTTGTTTGTGAACCACTGGTCTGGTCAGGGGAATCATGAACGTCAGATGGATATGATTGAGAGTTCTGTTGGGAAATGCCGCTCTCATTAGGGGAGAAACTGGTTGTAGTAGACTGTGAACTGCGAGCAGCACATGACCCACCAGTTCCAGAAGATGATTCTAGAGTGCAGTGCTGCTCAAAAGTATCCGCTGAGAGATGCAGGCCCTGGATGCTTACATCAGCCGAACATTGATAGTGAGGCACATTCTGGATGCAGGACCAGCAATATGACTCCTTATCTCTCAGAGGCTGGTTAAAGAACAAGCGAGACCCACCAGTGATTGTGTTCTCCTGAGATGCTTGCATTGGTACTATCCAGTTGTTTTGAGGATCTAACACCACAATTGAAACTCACGAGCTTCAAAAGACACCTACAAAGAGGTAGATGGCTTTACTTTCTAGTCACTTGCAGAACACTGCTTGTTGTGGATTCAGATTGCCACAAACTTCTAATTGGCTTAATCCTAGCAACCGTAATCTGCAAAGCAAGCCAACTTTAGTTAGTTTTACATGTACATATAACATACACACACACAATCTAATCTTCCAGTTGAGAAATGCATGTGATGCCAATAATAATGACGAAGCTTTTACATTGTAACTTGGTCAGGTAAGAAATGAAAATGGAGAGTAGTCGCTATCACTCCAAAAATCCCAGACGATCTGTATCGTGCTTAAGAATCTTGCAATTGTAAATGAAAGAATCCTTGAAAAGGTACACAAATAAGATAGAAGAGTTATCAAATGAGAACTACCAGGAAACAGCAGATACATCGAAGATGATTTTAACTGCTACCCCACCAACCAATACTGCCTGCACCTAACCTGGAAGGTTCCAAAGGGTCTGAAGAACCTTACAACTCAGCCCTCGCATCCCTTAACTAACACACAACATCAAGGATGCAAACAAAATCATTTCCTTAAGCCAAAACTAGCTTCCATATACTCCTACACCAAACTAAACCAATACTTTTCAAACCGAAAAATCAAAGCATATGATGGCCTCTTCACAAATTGGAACCACTTCCAAATCAAAAAGTGAGGTGGAAATTTGGTGAGATGCATCCCAAATAACACTCCTCCACGGCCACTTTTTCAATCCAATCAGGACAGGAGAACATCTTCTCCATCAAGAAGGTAGCCCAATTGGATCTTACGTACAACAAGTTCACTTCTTTAGTGTTGATTTTGTCCTCATCGTCCTGTTAAAATTTATCATCCGAACCAAACCAAAACCAACAAAATAGGTAGTCTCTTACCTCACCCCCCATAAAAAGTTTGCAAAGGAACGGAAGTTAGAGTTGCAGTAACATATATCTAGCAGTTCCTGGTGAGAAAGAAATTACAGCAATCGCCACCACCGACCACTTCAACCAACTCCGGAAAACAAAATTTGCCAAGAAAACAGAAGATTTACTACAGCCACAAATCTCAGAGCTACTGAGAATTCCATGGCCACTCCAAAAGCGTAAATTTGTCAAGCACGGTAAAGAAAGAAAGCGCGTCCCACTTTACAGCAGCAATGAAAGAGAGAGAAGCAGAACCCATGAGTCAATTTCATCAAAGGAGATGGAAAGTTGTAATCTTTCTCAAGCTCAAAACTTTCTCACATACCTGGGGAGTAGGTTTGCACTTTTGTGTCCTGAACTTGAACACGCCCCAGCTATGGGGTTTTTCACTTTTCAGCCTTTGCTTCGAAGTCACAAATGAAGTTCTGCAGCAAGTCGAAGGGTCCACTTCTCTACTCAATTCTACTACCCTAGAGAAAGGAATATAAAAAAAAAACTCTGCATCGAGCCGGCATTTTATAGCACAATGTTTCCAATCAACCATTTGACCTCGTCTGTCCCTTGCAATTACAATCATGCCACCATAACTACAGAGAAAACTGAAAAAGAACAACAAATAAGCGGAGACAAAAATATGATGCAACAAGATCCATACTTTAGAACTCAAATTAAAATTTAACTGATAATCTAAAATTACAACTAAATAATGGATTTTACTTAAAAGGGTATCGATCCGAACGAACTTTTTCGGTTGAGGAAAGGAGTACGGATGGTTTTAACAAGGTAAACTCACAACTACAGTATCTGGTTTAATAACTATCGCGTGCCGGTGAAGCAACAGCTCCATTGTAAGATTAATTATTAATCGAACCGAAGTTTGGACGGTGATTTGCTTTCCTTTTGTTTACTCCCTTCACGCATAAATGCATTGTGATATGTCTTGGCTTTGACGGATATATCGAGGAAAAAAGGCAAGCTTTTTGTGTTGACTTATTAAATGAAAGTGATCTCGCTAGCAAATCTGATAATTACTTAAACAAAAAGAAAATCATAATTTTATCCTGCACGATTTTATCGATTTTGATATTCACGTTACTAACGCTAAAAATTAAGGTATTTTTTAGACAAACACATACAGATATGAGAGCATTGAATATGAAACTTGGTAACATTAGATTTTCTGATTTTAATAAAGCAAGGGTTCGATAAGATAAGTACTAGACTATGCATGACTCTCTTATTTTGGAAAATAATTATGAGCATTTTCCTTTTCTTCTTGAGAAAAAAAGGTTGATTGATTAACTAAAAGTGTAAAAAGAAGGAAAGCTGAAAATTCAAGTTGCAATTCAACTCTAGATTGTTGGTGATAAGTGATAACTGATAAAAAAATCTGGTCTTTTTTTGACAAAAAAAAATCTGGTCTTTTTTTGACAAAAAAAAAAATCAGGTCAATGGTTGGTTGCGGAAAATGAAATGAAATAAATAAAATCACAAGGCAAACAAACAAACAGGATTTTGTTTATTTAAGTGCTTTTTTTATCCCTTTGCATGGTTTACAATTTTCAGTTACAGTGGTCAAATTAATACTGTAGAAAGTATTGAAAACTGCACTGCCAGGATTATTAAACTCAGATACACGGTTGGTTGATAGTTTATTAATTCAGATAGGTAATTTATACCATTAGTTCGACAGGGAGCACCGGGTGCGAGATTGACAATGTTTTTTATCGTTCCGACCTGCACCATATAATCTGCGAAAATGTTCGATCGCGCTCGTGCGAAATTTAGAAGGATCATCGCTCGTCTTTAACTGGCCTAACAGTTTAGACATTGACAAGTAGGCCTTACAACTTAGTGCACCCTCCAATTTAGGACCCGATCAATCGACATGGCGAATTTAGTGTTCCAGTTGAGAAGCCTTCTCCAACGAGGCTGGATTATTCGACTCTCCCACGAGAAGGGAAATTTTTTGACCGACGTTTTTGGCTCATCAAGAGTTTGTCGTTTCCATTTGGTATTCATGGGATTCCTTAAAAGCGGAAATGAAGTTTTTTGTACGATGCTTTGAGGTTTTCTGATTGTTAGCACACTAATCCCTACCGATCGAGGTGGATTCAAGTTAACGAGCTGAACGAAGAGAGAAAAGGTTGGGAGACCATCAATGTCGTTTCAACGTAACTAAAGAAGAAAACAGAGTGGAAATTAGAAGAAGGAAGGAAAATGCATGCCTGAGTCTTGGAGCTTTCAGGGCCCTCAATTGCTGAGAGTTGTCGCTGGCTGCTATTTCGTTTGCTTCCTTGCTGCTGCTGCTGTCAAACACATTACAATGTTCCTCTTTGATCTGTCATCATTAATACATCATGTTGTTGCAAATATTACGTAATTCCTTTTTCCAATTTTATTGTGTTATTAATTTATTTTAGTATTGAAGCAAGTCAAGTACTTCTTAGATAGGGCAGAATGTCTGATGGTCAATTTGTTGAATTCTTCCTCTGTGCATTAAAAGTAAACGATATGGTACTTGATTTATACTACCCCAAGTTGCACCGGTGAAACAGTTACGGCGACGGATCTATGAGGCAAACGGCGGGTTGGGTAAGTTCGAATGTTCCATTGGTTGGTTCTTGTGGATCGGTCGGATTACGAGTAGGTCAGGTTACGAGTCATGTTGATGTGACTTGAGCCAGATAGATTATCTATCATCGACGGGAAGTTACAGGGTCTCTTTGTATGGAGTTTATTTTCTGTGTCTGGTCTGTAACATTTTCCTTTACCAAATTGGATTAGGGTTAGGTCTTCTAGAGAAGTACTATATATATATATATACTTCTCAATTCCTTGGTAATTTGTATCTCTTCAATTAAAGTGAAACTGACTCTCTCCTATCCGCGGGCTAAGATAACACACATGACGAGGAATCCCTCCAGAAGGCACCACTTGAGTGATGCTGTCGTCAGGCAAACTTCGGGGCTGCCGACCATCCACCAGGGTCATTGATAGTTGGCCGATAAATTAACTCTTATGTCACATTATTATACTTGATTGGAATCAGTCCTATAATTAGGGGTGGCCAATCGGTTGTCGGTTAGCGCTTAACCTACCGGTTACAATCGAAACCGGCCGATTATCCACTAATCGAAATCACCGAAAATCGGTCGGTATTCGGAGGGATGAGCGAGATGCTTTTGGTCTTGTGGGCAGCTCGGTTAACCGAAAACCGAGATAACCGGAGCCTTAATCCCTATTTCGGTTGGTGGTCAGCAGGGTTGGGAGGTGGTTCGGTTAACCGATAACCGACCCTTCGATTTTCAGTTATAACTGAACCGACCGACCAAGCCTCCAGGCTCCACCCCTACCTATAATCAAGGATTCAAGGAGGGAAAGAAAGAAAAAAAACACCCACCATTCCTTGTCACTCTTAACACAAAACCTCCCCACATCCTAGCAACTAGGTATCATCTATCCCATCAGTGTCCGTTACTGCTTCTGCATGTGAGGCATTCAAATTTGCGACATTTGAAAAGGAACATGCACAAAATCAGGAAAAAGTTACACTGATGAAATTGAATGCTATATATGTGGCGTCTTGGACAGGGTACTAGGAATCTAGCTTGGACGCTAATTGCTCTGTGTGGGATGGCGGCGGTCTCCTATTCATACTTCTCTTTGAAATTCCTTCGATTCTCCCCTGTCCATGTGTTCTATCTCTTCTTCTGTGCATAAAAGACACCCTAGCTATGCCTAGGTCTCGTCACAGCTATCATCGTCACTTGGACGGTGATTGTCGTTTCCATGGATATGTTACGTACTAGGTAGTTGTTCTTCCATTGACGGCAAATTTCGTTTACACAGAAGAAGAGAAAGTGCATACCAAACACTCTAAAGCAGGAGACTTGATAATCGGAACTTATCGTGGTTCAGGTAGCGGTCCGATCTAAATCGCGAGATTTTTCATACTGTTTTAGTCTCGATTCTCTCCGGTTCCAATCTCGGTCCCACGATAAAGGATTATCATATAACTTGAATTACAACCGGATGTCTCGATTTGCATTTATGAGATGAAAGTTGACAAGTGATAACAACTTCATGGCATCCGCTTTGATGATCACCATGGAAGTTGTTGGGATAAGGATTAATAAGCCTAACGCGACTATAAACTGGCCCAAGCCCACCGCAAGATATCTTGGGCTCAAGCCCACTCAAGGAAGCTCAAACCCTGTATAAGGAGGCCTAACCCTCCAAACTAGGGATCTCTCCTTCCCTTCCTCACTTCCCCTAAGGTCTCTCTCTGCTTTATCTCTCTACATACCATACACCCCCTCCTATATCGTACTAACTTGGACGTCGAAGCGTAGATCCTGGGAGCCGCCTCTGCCTCACAAGTTCTTCCACTCTCGAGAAGGTCGGACAAGGAAATCCAGATCGGAGTCCCATAATTACTATGTTATCCTTGAAAACTTTCCTGCCGCAAACAGAAGTCATCTCTCGCAAAGGCTATGGCTGACATGTAGATTTCATACCATCCAAATCCAAGATGCAAGCAATTTAATATTACTTCCTCCTTCCAAGTTCAACTCTATTTCTTGTTTGTTTAGCTGCCACACAGCGTCAAACGATTTTAGTAATTACAAGTGCTAATCCTAATCATACAGCACACTAATTGTCCACAGAAGACCATAAGCACAAAGTCCACTTAACAAGGGTAATTGCCAATTAGCCGGTGAAGAATCTCTTCCAAGACTGCCATGGCAGAAACCCACCTGCATCATCATCATCATCATCATACCATGTTTACACAGCGTTAATGGTTTGTTCGTTAATAAAGATAAAAACTTTGAGCTGTAATTTAGTAGGATACCGCATCCAGGGCAGCGACAGTACTCCTCCCGGTTGTCCTTGTCCTCCATTAGAACCAGCCCAGACCCTCCGCACACTTCACACCTCCTCTGTTCTATCTTCAAACGCAGAAAAACAGAGACGCGCATTTGTCAGTAGTAGCGACTGTAGATTGCAGTTAATTGAACCTCGGAATTCAATCAATTCCCAAATCCGTGCAAACAAGAGGCAGAGCTACCCAACTATTCTCTTGCTGAACTCAATCCCGGCCACCACGAACGGCAACACTCCGGCTGCTCCGTTTTGTCACAGCCCACAAAAGTAATGAGTTTTTTAGGTTTCAAGTGGCAATCTAACAGTAATAGAAATTAGGGTTAATTAAATTGAGGACCTGTAGCTCCGACGACAATCTCCCAGGTGACGGTGGAGGCTTGGCCTTGCTGACCCGACAGCATGGTCGCGGCGGCGGATGATAGTTCATCTCCTCCTCCTCCGACCACCGCCGCAATCCTTGGAGCTCGTCTCCTTCTTCCTCCTTGTGCCCAGCGATTGCTTGCCGGCGGCTTGAACCCGTTTTCCCGGAGAGGAAAAGGGTGGGTGAAAGATGAAGGAAATGCGGCGGGTTCGATGGCTGCCGGGGGAAGAGGGGAAAACGCCATCGACGGCTCCGATTATGAACTGCAACCACAAGAACCGCTCCGATTCAGGTTAAACTAAACGACTAGAAAGTAGAAAGGCAGAGAGGCGCGCAGTTTTGTGGTTCTGGTGCGGCCTCTTGGCCCTCTTTGATTCTCTCGTTGTGTACGCTGTCGTTTCAACTGACCAAAGGGGAGGGAATGTATTTACAGATCAGTACCCATAAATTTATCCTATTGGCATTTTAGTTCTTGGAGTTCGCTTTTCCCGGGTGGATGGATATCTCATTTGAGTCATTTCTTAGAAAATAGGGACTGAAATTCCGACAAAGTTTGGGATATAGGACTGAGTTGTAATTTGTTACATTATCCACGGGGCTGGGGCTGGGCCTGGGAATCGTCAGGGAGGCCAGGCCCACAAGGGTAGGTTCGGTGAATCCGACTAGTAGAATGGGAGGAGCGTGAGTACTCTTCTCGATCTGATATGTCCCGACACACTCTATTTTTTGTTTGTATTTTGCCTAAATTATATGTAATTTTACTCAAATGATTTATGTTTTTATTTTTATCACCTCATTTTAGCTATAATAAAGTTGGAAATATGTGAGGTTCAATTTCATGAATAATTTAATTATATTTACCATAGCATAGTCTATCTCTTGGGTTTTTTAATGAAAAAAATACGGAGTCCCGAAAGCAAGCATGACATCATTATGAACATAAAGTCCCAAAGTATGGAATCCCAGAAAGAGGCTGACCCAACTTAAATGGGATATGATTTATATGGGTCGACCTGTTCCGACTTACGCCCCGTCACAAATTACTCGACCTAAACCCAATCTACCACGATGCGGGTATAGATATCCGGATACTCTCCTCGGAACTGCCCAATGTCATTCCTCCTGGTAGCCTCACCCATGCCATGACTTCACAACCATGTATGGACAATCAAATCATTTAATCTTAATATGAAGTCTAACTAAATTCATTTGCAAAGTGTAAACGTAATCTTTATGCAGTTTCCCAACTACAGTGAGGGCTTGGTCTCTGTTTGCTGGAGGAAGATGCGTGTCGCTTTAAAGGAAGAGAGAAAATGATGGATTATATGGATTAGTGTTGTATTGGAGATAAGGATGGCAATTATAGTCGTAATCGTGGGTATTCGACCCTGTCCAACCCGGTCAATAAGGGGAATCCCCGTATTGATTGGGTAATGGAGTGGATATGGCTAATACCCATAAAGAATCTTGTGGGGATGGGGCGGGGTGGATTTGAGTGCCCCGCCCCATACCAATATCCATATTCGCCCCATCATTACTTATGTCTTATAATTGTGACATTTAACTACAATGTAATCTACCAAAAGGACTTAAGGGTTATTGTAAAACAAAATAAGGACTAAAAGATTAATTTCACATAGTTAAACCAACCCTAATTTCTTAACAAACTAACACGTTACTTTGGAGGATAACTTGACTTTTATGTGTGGGTTTTTATTGTTTAGTAGGTGTTTTGGAGATAAATAATTTGGTGCTGGATTATTTATTGGTACTTTGTTTATGGAACTTCTTAGGAATTGGATGATCTAATTAAGTTTTTCAGTGTTCTTTATTAGGTTCATCATTGATTAGATTTGATGTTTCAACCCAATAGTTATATGTTTTGTTGAATTCAAGTGTGTTAATTTAGTTATAATCATAATCAAATGTACGAGACGGGGATTACCCTCGGGTATCCGAAACCCGCGGGGATGGGGATGCAAAATCTTTCCCCGCATGGTGATGGAGAGGGTATGGATTTGATCATTGAAAATGGGTATGAGGACGAGTTTAGTACAATCCGCCCCAAACCCGACCCATTGCCATCCCTAATTGGAGAGGAGGGTTCTGACTTCTGTCCTATTTTTATCTTTCCCACTAACTTTCTCTAAAACGATGTCATTGATTAATTTATATTTTAAAATTTTCCAGATTGTTCGGTAGGATTAACCTCTAAAAACCAGTCAATACATTTTTTTTATCACGACTACTTGTATCATTCCGGATTTGACTTCAGTACTTGTATTTTACGGTTCAACTGCTAATACGGTTTGTTAATTATTCCTCTCAACCTAACATACCGTTTGGTATAAATGAATTCCATAAGTTTTTATAAATTCATTTAGAAATGAAATCTTTTTGTGTTTGGTATTTAAAAGAATTAATTTTCAATTCTAAATTTTGAATTATACGAAATTGAAACTAGTTATAGCAATTCCGAGGAATTGAGATGGAATTTGCAAATGAATTCCACGAGTATTTACTAATTATAATAGAAAATGGCATCATTATCCTCATTTATTAACGAAATTACTTCTACATATATTATTTGGCTCCAATTAATGCAATATGAGAAACGTCACCAAGAATTTGATTACAACGCTATAGCATATGCTGGTTATTTTGTACTTCTGGTTCGATTGTATTATTACGTTGAGAAAGTACAACAAGATTGTAGGATTAATCGACGAAATATTATAAAAGAATTAATGAATAGAATAGAACACACAAGAACAGTTTAAATTTATTTAATTCTACAAAGTAATTCATTTTAAAATGAAATGAATTCTAAATTCATTTGGGGTTCGTTTGCTTCATGGATTTGAAAAATGAAGGTTTTGGTATAAATTTGATTTTGAAAAACCATGGATATATGAGGGTTTTGGGTTCATTATGGATTTAAAAAACAACATTGTTTGTTTCATGGATTTCATTATGGATATTGTTAATTAAAATGTATGTTGAAGTGAAATTTACCTTTATTGCCCTCAATGATATAAGAAGAGAAAGTAAATATTAGGGATATGTTGATAAAAAATGACGGACTTCAAAGTCCATGATCAATTCCCACCTAAAGAGTTGGGATTTTCAAACCTGTGGGGTGCACGAATTTGGACCCTCAAAGTCCATGGACCCCACCGATTTGTTACCTCTAACTATTTAAAGCAAACAATTAATTTTGGACAAAATCAATCATGGATCTAAACTCATCACCAACAAATCATTTATCAAATTCATCAAGCAAACAATCATTTGTAAAACGCAAGTCCAATTCAATTCCATTTCTCATCAGTAGACCATAGTAGTAGTCAGTGTAGGATCCAGTTCGTTTCGTATGTGTTTTTTTTTTGTGAACGGTTTTTTTTTTGTGTGTTAATTATAAATTAAACTAAAATTTTGCTGAAATTTCTCTCAAACTCCGACTCGTCCCTGACCTTTCCTTCTTCCTTCCCCTTTTTCTATTGCAAATTTTAAATTATCGTATAAAAAATAAAATAAATTTCGCTGTTCCTTGTTGGGTTCGCTCTGGATCTAGGGTTCTTTTAATTTTCCTTCCTTCACCCCGGATCCAATCAATCTCACAGCTTTCTCCCTCTATCTCTTCTGTCTCCCCTCTCTCTCTCACTGTCTTCCGTTCACTTTCCTTAGATCGAAGCCAAGGGAGAAAGAAATCGTCACCATCATCGTCCTCCTCGAATTGGCCGAATTCTTCTCTCTGAAAATCGAATTCCTGTGCCTCAGAGGTTTTTCGAATTTTCTGCTGCTGGCCTGAAATTTCACTCGCATTCGATCAGGTAATTAATCAATTCTACCTTTGCTTCTTCGGACTTGGCTCGGTTGTGGATTGTGACTCTCTTCTGGCTGCTGATCTCTCGATTCCATCCCGATGACTTGCCCAGTCGCTATCTGTTTAGAGCAATGAGCTTATGAATGAGTCGGGCTAGGGTGCTTGCAGCTGGAGAAGCTACGCGATGATTTCTTCAGCTGCTGATCTCCCGATGTTTTGCTCTGATTATAATACAATTGAACTTTGTTATTGGCGTTTGCTTGGATTGCTGAGAACTTAGACAGCTAGTTATCAAGGACTGATGGAGACTTTGCTTAGTGAGATTAATCGAGTTTAGTTGGATGCTTTATCTTGTTGTTATATACTTGAAGTGGAGGGAAGCTCGTTTAGGGAATGCGTTTGAGTATGTTGCGCTCCAGGCTGTAGATCGGTTATTGACCTCTTCAGATGATTGCTTCAGTGCTTAAAATCACATGCATTGTCGAGTTTGATGGCTGTGAATAATGTTTTGACATATTATTATAAGTTTATAACTATATATGGGTCAGTTATCAATTTGGTGATGTTGGTTGTTTGACATTGTAGTTGATCAGAGGCAATGGCTTTTTTTCTGTGAGTCCGGTATCGGGGTTCCTTGTGATTCAAGCTAGGATAGTGAGCACTCTGCAGTGTGTTTGAACCCTTCTTAATGAGTTCGTTAATTGTGGACTAGGCTTGTATTGTTTATAACTTATCCTGTTGGTAATTTAACCTCTGCCGTTGGCAATGTGAATAATCATCTGTTTGTCAAAACGTTCTCTCCTGATTGTTTGGGCAGGTTAGGTGATGGAAGCATAGGTGTACCGAGTAAAAGTCATATTTTCAGAAAGCCATGGGGACTGAGAATCCTGGCCGTCCAAGTTTTCCTGCCACGCCTTTTGCTGCTGCTCCTCCAACGATGACCCCATTTTCCAATTCTGGCTCAGTGGTTGGATCAGAGGCCTCTAACTTGAGACCTATGCGGCCAACTGTTCCGCCAAATACTTCGCCACCTATGACTGCTGGACCTGCAGGTTCTGGGGAGTCACCTGCCTTCAGACCTGCACCACCAACTCGTTTCAATGATCCCTCCTTGCCCACCCCACCTTCATCATATGGCCCCCCTGCTGCTGGAACATTCAACCGCTTTCCAACTCCACCATTTGGATCTATGCCACCAGGTCCTCCTGCGCGTGCTCCGGTGGTAGGCCAGCCACCATTCCAGCCCCCTCCCAGTCAAGTATCACCTCCTTTGTCCTTTCGTCCACAGGGGCAGATTCCAGGAGTGCCTATGGGATCTCCTCCACCTGGTGTGAACACTCCTCAGATAGATTCATCATTTCCTGCATCAAGGCCAAATTTTCAGCCATCTTTTCCCCCTACGGTTTCCGGTTACCCTGCAGCTGGAGCCTCTTCGCAACTGCCTTTACCTGGATATGTAAAGCAGTCAAATGCACCTTTTCAAGCTCCACAAGGTCCTCCTGTACAGTCGCCCTTCCAATCTCCGCCTGTAGGTTATGCGCCTTCTGC